GCGTCTAAATTTTCGTTTTCTGTAGTTAACGGCTCATTTTCAGAAAAATATTCGTTGGGTGCCCCTGATCATTCGAACCAAGCCTTGTGGATATACCCAAGACAAGGTCTCTCCGATTCGGTAAGTTTGGTTCTCAAGTCCTGTTTACTGTTTAACTTAACTAGGGTTTACGGTCGCTACGGAACTGTTAGTCGGCACTTCTTTCCAGATCATATTAGAGACTAATACATCATAGCTAGTATCGCTTTACTTGCAGTTAAAAGTGGGTACGCTGGGGGGATGCACTCGTTCATTTTTTGAGTTAGTGTGTGCCGCTGAGCTGCAAATTATCTAGTACCCTATTTTAGACCATTCACAAAAACCTTACTAACCAGCCTATACTGTTAGCTAGAAACTCCAATCTTCACTGAAAATTGTTCACTTCCCAAGGATATGATATCCTATTCCTAACTAAAATCCCCGATTTCTACCAGGGGACTAAACTGCATAAAAACCGTTACCTTGACGTACCTTTAAACCGTAACGGCTTCCTCACCCGGGTGTCTACGTACCGTGATCCCTCATTTAGCGCTAAGGTTTATGGCTTCCTGCTGAATAAAACGACACAGACGGTTATCAACTCAATATATAGGGAACTGCTTTTTTTTCATCAATTGAAACAAAAGATGATATTCTTAGCAACACAGTTGAACCATGATCTCGCTTTCCCCTTTACGAAAAAGACCTTTCGGGATTCGTAGATGCGATCTTATACTGAGACATTCTTAGCTATCTATTCTAAGCAATTCTTGCAAGGACCACTTGGACAAACAGCGGCGAGAGAAAGCCAGATCTTGTCGTAGATCAGGATCACCAGTATCAAATAACATTTAAAAACTGAAGGCAAGGCTGATTGGACAGCTAAGGTTTACAAATTTACTTGCCCAATATGTCGACTAGACAAAACTAGTGTTCATTAGGGGCTGGAAAAACTAAGTGAGAATAGAGTAAACGGTTACAGTATATAAAATAATACAAAAAAAAAAAAAAAAATAAAATGTGATTGGTGGAGGAATAATAGACAAAAACTTGTAAAAAGAGGTTACATAAAAATATATGTCAATAGATTAAATTTCATCTCGTCTGTTCATCCCGTAGGGTTCAAGTGTTTTGCCTTTAGATATTGAAAATCCTTCGCGGGCCTTACGGATACTGTCCCTGTCTGAATTAATCAGTTCTAATGGATTGAATTCTATGTCCTGGATGGAATGATCTGGAAGGGAGAAGTGATCTGAAACGGCGGTGGGATGATAAAAGCAATATGGGTTTCTGGCTTTTTCTATGGAGCGTCGGTGCTTTCCATATCTGTCACTGAGCTGGCGTTTAGTTTCGCCGATGTATTGCATGTTACATTTATTGCACTAGATCGTGTAAATGAGATTGGAAGATGAACAGGAGATGTGGTGTCGGATGTGTCGTTGTTCGTTGGTTGAGTAGGTGTAAGACGTGGTTCCTTAATTCCGTAACAGAAGGATACGTCTTGCACCTACTTCTGTTACAGCGGAAAGCTCTCTCGTGTTTTGAGGGGTGGTCTGCGGTGTTTGGCTCTGACAAGGATGTCAGGTAGATTACGTATTGCAAAGTAGGTAAGGTATAATAGGAGGAGAGGGAGGTGCTTCTTTGCATCGTTTGGGAGAATGAAGAATGTTAAGGTTGCCAGAAATAATTTGGTTTATGTTGGGAAGAGCTGGATTGAATGTTACTACAAATTAATGGTACTCTGTCAGCGCCTGATAAATAAGTATCTTGTGGAGATGTTTTTCGTGAAAGGAAACAAAATTATAATAACGTGCCCGTAGAAATATAGAGTTGGTGCCGTGTCACAGAGCAGACAGAGAATGGTCCGCGCTATGCGCTTTGGCTAAAAAGGAAGCTAAGGTTTACGGGTCACCTCTTCAAGTTCTACTGTACAATACAGACCTGTACAGTTTGGTTTTGACGATGACTTTTTGCCACCAAATTTGTCTCCCTTTTCTTACATGACGACTAACCTTTGTAGTGTGATGCCGCAGTTATTTGCATTCCGGCTTGTAATTTAGGATTATTTGGATAAGCTGGAGTTCAAATGAACCACCAGCCTCATCCATCGACATCGTTTTCAATCTAACTGGAGAAAACGAAGCGCAACGGGTGAAGGCACGTTTAAAAGTTTAAAAGTACAGAGATAAACTTTCAGGGGCTCATAAAGAGGATTTTTGCACAAAAATGAAAATGAATTCATAATTATAATAAGGCATAGATTGTGTTTATCCACGCCATTTGAATCGTTTTCTGAGAATGCTGGAAAAATTTACGTTTTCTTTACTCCCCAGTTTCCTCCTGTCGGATGGGAAAATTCCCAGCCAGGGGGTACACCTACAGTTTGCCAGAAGAAAAAACAGAAAAAAAGAAAAGGAAAACAAAACATGAAAAACAAGCAATCCTAGAAGTTTTGTAGAATTCCCGGCGATCTCAATCTTATTCTACCACGTAGCCCTTGCAGAATGACTGCTGAATGTGATTATTTTTGTTACAAAAAAATTCTAAAGGAAAATTTCCTTTTCCCGTCTACAGGAACAGATATTTTAAGGAAGATATCTTTTGAGTGTTTCTGTTCTTTATTAGAGGCAGTTTTGCTTTCAACGCCTTGAAAGTTGTTTAAGTTCTCTACGGTATTTAATTAAATGATCGTGAAGAGGGCAGTAAAAAAGTCAAATACACGTACTTAGCAAGGGAAGTAAAAAATACATTCCGAACTGGCAGTTGAAATAGGCAAAATGAATTAAAGGATTTGTCAAAAGCCTATCACCTCGAAATTCAGGTCACAATCCAAGATATTAGGTATAATTCGAACTGTATAACAATAATCAAACTTGTTTTTTTGCCTGTCTAGAGCTTCGATTGCTCAAGGTCCATAGAAATGGAATCTATAAGCGTCAAGTTGATTCAGTCAACGCAACCAGCCCAAATTCTGTGGAGCCGACGATGCATAAAATCAACAAACTTAAGGCGAAGATTGGATGGTTCTTGCGATAGATAAATATGATTATGGCATATTTTGAACGTAAGGGTTGCGTTTAGCGAAATCTCTATTTAAACTGTGTATCACTATAAGATTTTGAATAGATATCGTACGGTTCTGTGTCAAGTGCTTGTAATCGGAGGAGACACTGGCCGGAGTGCGTCGGGCGTGTAAATAGAACATTTTAACTTTTGTTTTACTGGCGCGATTACAGGGCCCAGTTGTTCAAAGGCCCATTAGCGCTTAACCTGGGATTCTTTTTCTTTCTTCAAAAACATATCTTCTGATAATTTTCTCTGTTATTTCTAAGAGCAGCCAATCATCAACTTGTTGGCAAAATGAACTAAACTGAATTTACTTTTTTAAAATCCTTTCACATCTGAATTCAAATTTCGCACTAACCCTGTCAAAGCCTTCAGTAAAATGTGTGTGCGGCTCACGTCAGTAACTTTTCCAGTAATTTGGTCGAGCGTGGCGCTACCGTGGGCTGGTTTATAAGTTTTTCCTAACAAATAACAGAGTTAAAGTGTTCGTTTGGCTGGTGCCGAAAATATCACAAGTCATGATCAAATGGCGCCGCCAAGCTTCGCATCTCGGTAGATTTACTATGTGGCCCAACGGCTGCCGAGCTACACAACTCGGTAGATTTACTTTGTGACACAACGGCCGCTGAGCTACACAACTCGGAAAATTTACTTTGTGGCCTGGCAACAGCAGCCGAGCTACACAACTCAGTAGATATACTTTGTGACAAAAAGGCAGCCGAACTAAACCCGGTTTGATGAATGTACCAGGAGACGCACACATTTTCCAAAGACAGTGATGAACCATGCTGAAAAATATGAAGGCTCAATCCAAAGTAAAATTTAACAGCAAACTGCTGAAAGATGAACGCTTTGGAAGATTTAGCAAACACAGATCGATGTACGCTTTACGAAGATTCAGCAAACTTTTTAAAAGATGAACGCTTTACGAAGACAGAAGAATATCAGACTTCAAAAAACCTTTGAAAGATGAACGCCGAGGACATACGAAACACCACGTTATTTAGCGCGACAAAGTGAGACAAAACGTAAGTAAGCACTTCAATGCGAGGCAAATGTGTGTCGACGAAATAATCTCCTTTATTAGTTGCACAGGACACCCAATAATGCACAGAACACACAACACAAATTAGGGGTTGCGTTCTCGTACCTCAAACGCAATAAATGATAACAAATAGAAGAAATAAAGAATGTATTACATTGACAGCCTGATTTTCCTTACAGTACTTCCCTTAAAGAGAGAAATACTGAACCTAGAAATCGTAACCTGCAAATTGCTGCTACTGAAGAGACCTACAACTTCACATTTTTTTAAATTCAGGTTTGTTTGCGGGATATTTTTCTTGATCATTTAGCCCCTCCCTCGAAAGTTGAACTGATGCCGAAGGCTCCTACAGTTCAATTAATAGGGATGTGAAGATTTTCTTGTTTGGCTTAGACTTCATGTTATTAGTTTAAATTTGATTGCTTATAAGTATAGAAACGGAGGCTTCGCTTTTAGCCCTGGCTAACTCTATATCATTGTACGTTTATCAAAAGGTCTTCGATTTTGGAGTGTCTTTTTTGAATCTGGATAGAAATGGATCCTGAAAATTAATGGTTTATGATAGAAAGAAAATAACAAGAGGAATTTTAGTTTTGTGGACGACAAAAGGCCTTACCTCGCCTGCTGTTCCCTACCGCCGTAGAAAATGCAAGACTAATTGATAAGAATTGATGGAACATATAAATAGGAACAAATAAACACTGAAAACTGTCAAAATGCCAACAATTTGAGGATGTGCCAAAACGGATTTGAACTTTGGTTTAGGTCAAACCGAGAGAAAAAATCACTAATATCAAGTTCAACCAGCTCCGTTTCACACTGGCTCCGAGCGCCGAAGAATCATCCAGCAATTTGATGACGCCAAAGTAAAATGGTAACTGAAAAGCAGAGTTTGCCTTCTTTTTCCAGTTTACTTTCTGTTTTGTCTATTTTATTTTACTGCGCCGGGTTTTTGAGAGTTGAATTGGAGTTAAATGAACAGAAAAAGAGAATTAACGCTCTTGAAATCGTAAACAACGCAGAGAACAATCCTCGGCCATCATTCGAACCAAGCTTTGTGGAGTTAATCAAGAGACGTTCACCCGGTAAGTTTGTCTCTCGAGTCCCGTTTACTGTTTTTAAACTTAGCTATTTAGCTCTACTGTCAAATACCAAACCACCGGTTACCAAATCGCAAAGGAAACACGTACATTTCATATTCTTCATTTAATTTGCGCATGAAAGTGTGTGTTGACTCGGGGGGAGATGGTAAGCTCTCTCCGTTTTTGCTTAGGGGGATTACCGTTGAGCTACAAATTTGCTGCCCTGTTGTAGACCATGTCCCGAAATCACCCCATCACATACTAACTCGTTGTAAGCCAAAAACATTACATCTTCATATCATTATAATCACTGGGTATCAGGAATGATACCCCATTCTACATAAAACTTCTGATTTCTATGCCTTGATCCACGACTACTGAAACTGTACAGCAAATATCTGTATATATACCCCCTCCCCCCGGGAGTCTACTGAACATGACCCCTGATTTGTTTGCTTTACTATTCTTTCTGCTGCAGTAAAAGACACAGAAAGCTATTGACTCAATCTTTAGGAATTCTTTTATATCAGTTAAAGTGTAAAAATATTTTCTTAGCGAAACAGTTGATCCCCATGTGAAGGGATCTTTCTCCGTTGTTTCACGCGAAAGATCTCTCAGGATCTGTAGACGCACTCTGATGCTGTATCTGTTCTTAACAAGCCAGAAGCTGTCAGGGAGTCTGCTAGTCAACCAGTGCTTGAAAAAAAGGCATTGATTTGAATTTTTTGGAACGATTTAATGCAAAGTTTTCCATTTCACAGTTGGGTTTTGTTCCTCCGCCAGCTCAATTAATTAGATAGACAATCACTTATCTCTTTGGTCCGGAAGGGTATTTTCGGCAGCCGGGATTTAACCAAAAGACACGCAGCGAGGGATTCGGGAAAATTATTACTTACTCAGACAAGTTCTTTACATTTACATTGTAAATCTTGAATAAGATAGTCATAGTTTTAGTGTCATTCTCTCTTGCGGCCATTAACACGGAGGGAACTTCGCGATCCAGAAAAAATAAATTCTTCGGTAGGCTTGGGGTAATCGACCAACGATGCAATAATCAGAAAGACATGTCAGTGGACCCACACATATAGTCTTTTGTGACTGCGCTTGAACACAGCAGACAGTAATGCTTGAACTTCAGGCCGCCATCTTCAAAACAGGTGAAAGAAAGTTTCAGTGGTAAGACACGAATAAATTTAAAGAAAATTTCACATTACTGTGGCCAGACAAAATGTAAATTCATTCCCTTTGAATTCATCGATAAAAATTCACCGATACTCACGACTTCGGACGTTTTTCCTGCAAATCAACTACTCGGGATTCATCATAACCATTCTACTTTAACACTGTTTTGAGTTGTATCTAAAATGTATTTTGAGACTCATCCACTCAAAAAGTTACAAACAGAGTTCAAATAGACTATTTGAAATATGTTTTAAAACCTTAAGAACTGACTGCATTTTAAATACTTTTAAATAGGGTACTTAAACACCGTTTTGAGGTATATTTGAATTGTAGTTTGGGCACACAACACTCTGACTATAAAAACAGATATACATAAACTATTTTAAGTCTGCTTAAAGACATCAAATGCTGACCTTACTTTAAATACTTTAAAGTACTTATTACTTATTATTACTGAGGTGCGATATTGTAATGTACTATGGGATACTCAGACTATAAAAGTAACAATTGCACAAAGTTAATTTTTAAGCCTTCATAGTGTCACGAACTCATAAATGACTCAAAACAAGCTGTCTCATATTGTAGACCGGATTCTCTTCTCAACAAAGTTCGAAGCTGAACGAAAAATTAAATCTAAATTAAATAAAAAAAAGAGAAGAAAGTTAGGAATAGATTTTAGCTTTAACTGACAACACGTAACTGTGACAGTGTGCCGATAAGAGATCAATCCGTTCCTCAATGTTCATTACCTGCAAGCTCTCTGCGAAAATCTCCTCGTAGATTTTAGCCGTGATTCAATTAATGCAGCTACGGCATTCCATAAGTTTTTTAAAAAAACTTCTTAAAATCTCATCTTAATGGAAATTTTTCACAAACAGCCGAGGCCGCGGGCCGAGAACCGGATGCACGCGGTCAACAGAGGTTTATCTAAAATAAGCCCTTGAAATTATATAATAAATAAATTATCCAAGCTAAGATCTCACCTCGTATATATTGCATCAAGAAACAAAGCTCAGATCTGAATAACTCCGACATATGGTTGTCTTTCTCTCATAGATTATTCCGTACATGCATAGGATATTATTGCTGAGATGTCACGCGCGACTGAAATCACGACTTCGCGCCGCGGTAATGTGACAAATGCACGTGATAAACAAACCGTCCTTTGTCCTTTGCTCATTTCAAATTATTGAACCGGCGGTTACTGTGATTGCGGGTGCGCTTGATTTTACTGTTTGTTACGATCTTACAAAAGTACATTTCAACTCTGCGGATTGTCTGAACACGTAGATGTTGCTTTTATCACGAATCAAAAATGGGTATGACTCCTCAGCGACTGCTTTGTACTTTGAAAGGTTCTGGTTCAGGTTCTATTCGAAGCACGCTGTCTTATGTGTTAATCCAAGAGTCTTCTCTCATGTGAGTATTATAACATGTTACTAAGACGCTTAAGTATACGCCATATGAGAAACAAATGAAGGGTAGTAAACATTTATATACTCCCGCCTGTACGGCAATTTTAGTTTTTACAGGGTTCCATGCTCATCCTGGCTGTGTTGCATGAATGATCTCAGTCACTTGATGTCACGCTCTTTCATTCTCGCGTAAATTTGATGGTGTTATTCTTATGTTGTGCTTTATCAGCCAATAATTAATGTTCAGGCGTAGCCTGCAAGCTTCTGATAATACTTTAGTAAAGCCGTGAATATAATAAATAATGTAAGTTACATGTATGTAGATTATTATTTACCGGTAACGTCAGTAACGCAAACCCCTTTTGAAGCCGAAGATTGATAGCCTGTGTACAGACCCCCTCCCCTCCGATGTTTATTGAGGGGAGGGGGTCTGTACACAGGCTAAAGATTGATTTCAACATTTCTGAGAAATTCCATAAGAATTTCCCGAGAATACGTAGGGAAATCAACGTAAAGTCATCGGCTAAGAGATAATTCTCGTGAAGTCCTGGCCTAGGACTCTGTGGAGAAATTTCGCAGAGGTAAATCTAGCTTTTTCAGGGTAATTTTCGACGGTTATGTAGTCATTTTATTTCATGAATTTAAATGGTATTTCCATCCTGTTTTTGTACTGTTTTTATGCTCTTTCGACCGATTTTTGTACTGTTTTCAGACAACTCTAAGGCTATTTTCTTACAATTTTATCCTGTTTTTGCATTTTTGCATCCTATTTTTGATGTATTTTCACAATATATGCGTGCTATATTGCTTTTCTTCTTCTGTGTTATTTTAATACTATTTTAAAAGTATTTTTATTGTATTTGCAAATACGAGTATTTTACTAAATTTCGAGACCGATTAAACAGCTATTGAAATATATTTTGAAGCATAACATTTTAATATTAAACAGGTTAAAAACCCTTTAAAATCAGTCGAAAAATATATTAAAAATATATTTTTGTACCTATTTTAAACCTGTTTTTTTTTTTCAAAATACGTTTAAAATTGCCATTAAAAATAGTTTTAAAATAGTATAGCAAATTAAAATATGTTTTTAAAACTGTTTTTATCCTGTTTTTATTCCGATTTATAAGGTATTTAAAAACTGTTTTAGACCTGTTTTGAGCCTTGCAAAAGCCCTGGGATTTTTTTTATATTTTAAACGAATTTTAAAATACTTTAAAAATTGTTTTTTAATAGCATTTTAAACAGGTTAAAACATCTTTAAAAGCAGTCGAAAAATACATTAAAAATACACTTTTCACCCTATTTAAAACCTATTTCACAAAACAGGTTAAAAACAATTTTCAAAAATAGCTTAAAAATACATTCAAAACAGTGTTGGATTTGGTAAGGGTACTCACTTTTCATGGAAATCATGTGACTTTCTGTGTTTTTGTGATACAGTCAAACCTGCATTAAGCGGTCGTCCTTTGGGATGGCTTAGTACTGACCACTTAAAGGAACAGGTTCACGTTTCAGCGCATGCTCATTTACCAAAATGCTGTTTTTCTGCCGGGACATGCTGTATCACAATGCGAGCAATATGATCATGTCATAATGTTGTCAAAGAACCAATCTGCCCACTCCTCTGGCAGTCACTTGCGCTTGATCAACTTGAATATTTGCACATAGCTGTAAATTAATCAACCATGGAATGAAACCTTCGGGTCAACAATAAATTCAACTTTGGTAGTGTTGGCATAATCCACTAATTTTTCTGCGATTTTAGTTCTCCTCCATCCTACTTCAGGTTACTTTGAAATACATTTCTACTTTGAAATACACTCTGAGATCGCTGAGATACATGTGAGTGCATGGGATTATTAACCGATAGAATTGATAATAAATTTTAAAAAAAATTATTAATGAGCATGCGCTTAACCTTGAACCTGTCCCTGTAATACAGGTTGACCATTTAATACAGGTTTGACAAACGTGAGGGCGGTTATTCAAGAAAATGAAGGTAGTCAAAGAGCGAAATATCTATCCCACGACAAATTGACCTCCACCTGTTTCTACCTCTTCTTAGGCCAAAACGAAAAAAATTAAAGACCACTTAACGCTATACAAAGTGCGACCTGTTGCACTAGTATGGTACGACGTCTTTAATTTACCCCTCAAAGTAACCTTTTAATGACTTAAATAGAGATGAAGGCGATAACAATTAATTCGTTGGGACCTCGGAAAAGGTGACTGCGGCCGCTTAATTCAGGTCATTTTTACAGTAATTAAGAAAATGGATTTCTGGGACTTTGGTAAGTGAACACTTAATAGAGGTCTGCTTAATACAGGTTTGACTGTATGTTTTTCGACCTTGGATACTTTAGCGCGTGCTTTTTTGCATGAACTTTAAAAGAATGCCTAAGAAGCAAAAAAATCTGTGAGTTATGAAATTCCGCGAGAAATGAACATTGTAAAAAATTGAACCCAGCATCTCCCACCTGCATGGTCATTTTAAATTCATATTTATGTTCAAATTAGCCGCTAAAGGCCTGTGGGTTGAATTATCGGTTATAATAAATTTGATGAAATAATATGCCAATTTAAGGGTAATACATTAATTCATTCAAATGAAGAATGATCCACGCAGTTGTGAACGCAATTTATGCATGCAATTACGTCAGAAGCCTGAAAAAAATTTCAAGACCTTACGGGGATTTCAACCCCTGACCTCGCGGTACCGGTGCGATGCTCTAACCAACCGAGCATGAAGCCACCAATATTAAGGGCTGGTTCCAATATCGGCCATGCCCTAAGCTTTGGAACAACCTAATGGTCTCAATGCAATGCTTTGTACCGTTTCCATTACTTCTATCCTCGTCATGAGAATGGATAAACTCTTTAAAAGGTGTCACTCGGTGTTTACGTTTTCTAAACATATACTAGTCTAATAAGTGTTGGATTTCTGTCCCCGAAGGTGGAGTTTGGCGACGTGCGTCTATTCTACCGAAATGCTTATCGTCCAGTGCCAAACTGCAATAGACCGTTCCCCGGAGGGTTAATATTTGGGATACAAAAAGTGACAAAAACGAATAGTCTAACTCTTAGACATTCTTTGAGAAACGGTAGTAGACATCCTGAGTGACACTCTGTGTATTAGTTTTTAGTTTTGTAATTCCGCTATTTCGCCCTCGAGCTTTCTCGGTAAGCGCTTAAAACGCCTCAGACATTTATGCGCTCCTAGGCTGTCCACTGCCACTTTTTGTGGGACTGAGTGATGGCATGATGACAATTTAAGTGATTTACTCAAGTCAATCAGTAACGGTTATATAGTTGAAACGAATTATAATGTTTGTTCCTGAATTCAATTCAGTTCTTTATTTCACACTATATAATTAAGATATTTACATAAGTGTACGTAGGTAGGAAAATAAAGTAGTTGACAAAATAATAATTAACTAAAAGACATTAAGTTCATTTGTGTACAGTTTCCAAAGTAGCAAGAGCTTTCTTGTTGGAAACCGTCATGTTGAAATAATCGGCAGCAGTAAAGAGGGGAATAAAATCTCAGATAATATCAGTGATAGAACATATAAGCAAGGTCAGATTTGGTTGGTTAGAAGATAGGACTTCCATTCTTTCCTAAACTTATGATATGGCAGACACTTGAGACCAGGCGGCACAGTCTCCCAGATTTTTTGAGTGGAGAATCAGGACGTCAGGACGTCTTACCTAAGTTGGTGGATACTCTTGGCCTAAAATAATTCAGATTACTGACAAATGTTGTATTATGATTGTGTATACGCGATGCTAGAGTCAGAACATCAAGGAAAATATCTGGAATGCTATCAGTCTCATTTCTCATTCTATGTATAAAGCAAAATATTTTTAATTTATATATATTATCTAATTCAATAATATTATCTAATTTATTTATATTATCTAATTTCCTCTTTAGAGTTCAAGTCTTCCAAACATCACAGGAACAGGCGACAGAGTAATTCCCTTAAAAATTCAACGGACGTGATAGTCTTAACAGATACAAAGCTTAAGATAAGCAACCTTTTGTCACATTTAAAACCACACATCTGTCCGTCAAAAGGAGCCACGTGTCCACCAGGTCCCCCTGGCCCTCCCGGTCCAGATGGACCCAAGGGACAGAAAGGAGCCCGGGGAAGAGGTGGACAAAAGGGAAAAACTGGAAACAAAGGAGACCGAGGTGATATGGGTTTGGTAGGAAAGAAAGGCAGAGGTTCTCCAGGCCGTCCTGGTCCAACTGGACCCAAGGGACAAAGGGGAGCCCGAGGACGAAAAGGACAAAAAGGAACAACTGGCGACAAAGGAGGCCAAGGTGTTATGGGATCACCAGGAAAGAGTGGCAAGCAAGGCATCATGGGAGCTGTTGGTCCGCCTGGCGAAACCGGACCTAAAGGACAGAAAGGAGAAATGGGACTCGCCGGTACGCCGGGAATTAAAGGACAAAAGGGAGACGTAGGGCACTTTGATATCCAAGGATTTAAAGGAGAGCATAGCAAATCGATTTCTGGATCTACTGATATTTCCCCTGCAGGTATTAAAAAAATACTGTTGTGTAAGAAAAATGTTATTGTACTTTTCCATGAAAAATACCCTCTATTCCTCGTTCTCCATCATTTAGTTTCTATTTTCTGGTAGCAGCTGTATTTCATTTTGTGGCTGCAGTGAAAGAACACGAATACGGCAGTTAAAAGTTTGAAAAACTTAAAGATTTTTCCTGTAGTCCGCTGTAAGAGCCTGCATGAACTATCACAAACGCAGCCATCGATAAATCCCTTTGCGACACTTTCCTCGACGGAAAAACAATTCAGTTTTGCAAAACCAAAAACAACAACAACAACAAAAAAAGACAGCAGCTGTATTTCATTTTGTGGCAGCAGTACAAGAACACGATAATCAGTGTAAAACTTAACCGAAATGTAAAAAAAGACTTCAGTTGTCGGTCTGTAGTCTGTCAAATGCTATATAAGATTTTACACATGAACTCATCAGTCAGATTTTTGACTAAGCTAGGGAGGGGGGGGGTTGGTGTTGGAGAATACTAGGTTGTTCCTGGAGTGTGACTAAAGCGTGACCAAGCAAAAAGTAAAGCCTTAGAGATTGATTTGCGAAAATTTTGTCTTACGTCGAACACAGGAGACTTCATTTAGATTTTTACTCTATCAACCCCGTTGGTTGCCCCCAAAATGGTTAATTTTCGCCTAAACGAAGCGTAATGTCAGAGTCTGGGACTCCCTTCCCTACCATACTGAGTTTTCTCAAGATGGAATCTTAAGCCTCCTAGAAAAATCGTTTCGCCGTCGAGCTTAGTTTTTTGGTCAAAATTCGCGCCAAGAAAAACACGGGTTGCCGAATTTCATTTGGCGCATAAAAATTGCCAGTCACCCCGGCCGTACCCCCACCCCCTTTCCACTACCTCGGACAAAATCCGTACCAAATTTTCTGGCATCGATAGGTTTCCATTTCCCTTTAGGTGTGGCGCTGTCCACCTGAAACAATGAAATAATTCACAGTTTCATTGAGTGACGAAAAGGCAATTTTTCTTTTTCTGGATATTTCTAAACATCTTTCCTTCTTTTAATTACTGTTTTAAAAAAGATTCGCCCCAAACAGCCCTCAAAATCACCTTAGAACTCTCTGCGTGATGTGATAGCCCTGTTTAAATCAGGTTGTGCCAACAGGAAAAAAAAAAATATATAAAGTTGTAGCGCGGATTTTTGACCGGTTCTTAAGACAGGTTTGTCTTGAAATTTCAAGGTGTTGTAGTGAATCAATCTTAATGAAAGTTTCAGACATTATAATTATATACGGCATTATGAGGATTATGTGAAGAGATTTTAAAAAAATTCGTTCGAGTCGTTTTAGAGATATACAAAAAAGCGCTAAAAGTCCAAATTTTGAATGAAGTTGCACTTATACAGGTGGTGAGAAAACGGGTTAGTTTTGAAGATTGCAAGAACGAAAATAAACCAAAATTTCCTAGCGTTAAAATTTGAAATTAAGCAGCATTCTTACGCTACTGAAGAATAATTTGAGTCATTTATAACGTTTTTATTAAGTAATCTATCACGGCTATTGAAAATTTAAGGTTTGAAACATATTTTCCTTTCAGTGGAATTCAAACATACAGAATTTTTTTACTTCTTACGGAGATTGTTTGCTAAACACCAAACTTTAAGTTCCTAGCGTTGGATTTTCAGTAGCTGGTCTAGATCACACAAATTTCGGCTTTTATCAATTTCAAAGTTTTTGTTTATTGTTGTCATAGTAATATCGATTTTACTTAAAACTGCATTTTCACAAATCTCAATCCATAGCCAATTACTGGTGAAAATATTATAGCGATCGGACAAGGAAAAAAACACTTTTAAGGCGATTGAAAAATATTGGTATGGCCTCTGAAAAACTGTATCGAAACACCTGAAGAGTGATATGGAAACAAAACAAGCCACAAACCAGTGTAAGCATTGAGCTTTATAAACGGACTATTATTCCCTCCCCCCTAAATTTCGTCATATTTCAGAGCAAGGTCGTAAAATTTAAGGCACTTTCTTTTACACGGAACCTTCACATACGAAAAGAAAGTTTCTCCGATAAAATTCACAAAAAGAACAACTTATCAATGTGTCAATAATAGTTTAATAAGAATTGAAATAAGAATAACACATCCAAAAAAAAATAGTGATTAAAGTAGTAATGGTCGGAGGTTTTAGACATTTTTGTTTTATGGTCACGTGATCATAGGAGTGGTCTGATGACGCCATATCACTAACAAGTACTGTGCTATAAAATTACTAATGCATGGCAAAAGGAGTCTTCGTTAGACGGCCAGAATTTTCCCCAGCAACAGCCCCAAAGGATAGGTCAGAGGGCCCTTAAACAAGTCGAGAAAACTGTGTTTAGATTTAAAGCTTCGTTTAATGATTCTGTACAGTCAAAACAAAAAAATAATAAGTTAACGTAATATTTTTAATTTACCTTGTTGTACGGTTTTTTTTATTTCTTTTAGGGCTGTAATAATTTAACGATTAATTTAGTTGTAAAGTATTGTTTGTCAGTGAATGTCTTTCGTAAATGTCCTTTTTTTAGTACTGTAAACAGGGGCGGATCCAGGATTTTTTTTAGGAGGGGGTGCACTCGTCTCTTGCTCTACTTCAACACCAATAAACCACATAGTTTTCTTTTGCAGAATACCAGTTGTATTAGAAAACCGCAGGTCATCTCAGGGGGAAGGGGGGCGGGGGGGGGGGGTGCGCACCTCCTGCACCCTCCCCCTAGATCCGCCCCTGGTAAATGTCATTATCATTAAAAGATACTTTAGCTCAGTAGTGAGTTTGTCAAGCTATATGTTATTTCTTTTATTTAGCATTTGTTGTTCTTTGTCTAGGTCTTATGCAAAAACTCATTCTTAATTTTTAATGCGTGCTTTTAACTGCAGTTCGTCCTTCCATTTCTATTGATCCCGGACCCCTTTACGCTCTTGAAGGCAGTCATATCACTCTTCCAAAATGTGACGTGACTGGTCATCCCAAACCAACCATATCCTGGAGTAAGGATCTTGGTCGGCTTCCGCAGGGCAGAGTACAGATAAAAAACGATGCCATCAAACTTCTCAGAGTCCGCCAAAGTGATTCTGGTAGCTACTTCTGCAATGCGACTAATTTCGTGGGAAGCGCAATACAAAAAACTCTTCTAGTTGTGGTTTATCTTCCTCGCTTCACTGTGGTGCCACCTGCAAAAGCTGTTACATGGACTGGGCGCACTTTAACACTAACATGCAAGGCTACAGGTGATCCTAGACCAATTATAAGCTGGAGAAGACAAGGAGGTCAACTCCCAGTCGGGCGGAGCCACCAGATAAACGGCACTTTAGTTTTAAGGGAGATTGAAATGTGGGATAGAGGGATTTACATTTGTGCTGCAACGAGTGCTGGAGTGCTTAACGTGCAAACTGTGACCACAATTGAGGTTTTAAACCCAAGAGGTGAGTTTTGGTTTTTTGGCTCAAGTGATATTCTTTATTTAGCACTTGATAATACGGCGTTAAACTCCACATAATCTATATTAGTGTAGAATTCGTACTGGCACTTTAAATCTAAAAAATAAAATTTGCGACCCAGGGAGATAGAATAAACTGTTAAGTTTTGTATTTAGCCCTTCATCCAACCGATATTGACGTATTTGTAGTTGAAAAAACTGTTCTTTCTTGCAAAAACAAATAAAGAAATAAACACACCATGCCCACCCACCCTCCCCGACCTACCGTTTTCAATTTTACTTACTCTTGTTCAGACAGCAGATAATTTCAGTAATTTGGGAAATTCTGAAATACTAGAGTATTCCAATAAAGAAGGAAACTTTTTCCAGATATTATAGCGGGTACTATAATAGTTGCTGTGTTGCCAGCTGGGTTTTGGTTTATAACTCTGAAAGGTGAAAAATGTTATATTTTTTCTTTTCTCTCATTCACGATCATTGCCATATATTATCAAAGAAAAGTACAAACAATATAGAATACTTCATGGAAAGTGGGTGCGTACGGTATTTGCGCACGAGTTGTTGACTTATCAGCGAACGAGTGAGATTTCTGATACAAAAACAACTAGTTTCTGAGATGTTTTTCACTTTTCTACGAGAGAAACTCTACTTTATGGTCTTTCCTCGTTGAATGTCGTCTGCGAAGCAACTCGTAAAGCGAGGGCGCTGCAAGCTGCAAGTGCCTATAAAAAGCGGGGATTTTGGCGTAAAACTCACACACCTCTGTTGCTTCTGATTGAACGTATCATTTTTCTCACACGTGAAAAACATCGTTCGCCCCTCTGATTGGCCAGAACTCATTTGCGTATGAAAATTTACGTCATAGCTTCTCACTGAGTATATCTCCGTATGTATAAAATAAAGAACTTTAATCAAGGTAACAAAATGAACCATAGCAATGTTAAAGAAATTAGCCCAAAATACCAAACCAAACTGCTGCTCAGATTTTGAATGAATATCATACATTATTGGATGAGGCTGAATATCATCTTAAGAATTAAAACGCACTCCTCGATCTCCATAATTCTTCAGATGATAGGTTGAGTATGATCGTCTGAGGTCAACGTAGTCTTGAATAGGACCGTTGTTGTTGACACTGACTGAAGTTTCGACAATCTGTGAGGTAGTCATCTTGAGAGTCAAAGTGAGTTGTATCACGTCAGTTGATGGTATTTAACTCTGGTTGTTGACCTAATTGGTCAATTAAGTCGCGATGTTATTGGTCGTCTATCAGTTAAGCCTTGATGTCCTTGGCTTTGAAGACTCGTAGTGTCATTGGTGAGTTTCGATCCGTCTATTATCACAGTTAATCAGTCGTTTATTGTTAGTCAAATTGTCAGTTGTCCTGTCCTTCTCTCGTGTTTAGTTTTGGTTGATTCCGTCAATAAGTCGTTTGTACGGTGCCCGTAGCTGTTGACTACTATTCAGTGGCGTTTGTTCTAAGTTAGTAAACCAGCTTTCTAAAGTGAGTCGTTGACAGTAGGTCTGTAGAATACGTAATACATGTCGCAGATCGAATCCCAGTCGATTTGAGGTTTCGTCTGTACATGGTGTTCAGCGATGTGATTGTTGACGTCACCATTTCTCTTCGCTCGTTTTTGCTCGGTCAGTCGAGTGCTAAGGTTTGGCCGGTTTCACCAATGTAAGTAGCCTGGCAGTCGCAGCATTTGATCTTGTATACTGCACCCTGTCTGTCCTCTGCATAGTTTGCCTTTGTCCTTGACATTACTGTAAGTAGTCGTCGTGAAGCAGTTATCGGTTTGTGTACAACACGCATATTGTAAGGTTGTAGTATACGTGCGATATTTTTAGAGGTGCCACTGATGTACGGTATAGTCGCTGTCGTAACAGGGCCAATGTTGACCATGGTCTGAGAGTTGGAATCAGTGTTACTGTAAGTGTTCCGTCTAACAAAGTCCGCGTTGTAGTTGTTTTTACTAAAAACGTTGTTTGGGTGGACATTCTCTTATTGTAGGCTCTCGGTTGTGCTTGTCTCGTGAAATTCCGTATAGTTGTAGTCTTGTGAGAGGTGGGTTGTAAGATGTCTGGTCAAGTAATCGGTCGATATGCGTCAGTTTTCTGTAAGTTGTCGTTCGTAGTCTGTTGTCGTGGCGAATGACCAAGCAGACTAGAAAAGGTATTTTACCATTTATTCTAAATGGCGTTGTCTTTATTGACCTTACTAAGGCATTCGACACCATTGATCATGAGATCATCTTGCGTAAGATGTCATACTTGGGTGTCGATCGGGCAGCTATATATAAAGTGGTTCTCTTCGTACTTATATTAAGCGGCCAAACCCAAAGATGTAATGTCAGTGGCAAACTATCATCTGCTCGTACCCTCAGTTGCGGCGTGCCGCAGGGTAGCATATTGCATTGGGTCCTTTGCTATTTTTAACTTACATTAATGATCATCCCAACTCCCTGCGGGGCGCCGTACTAAGAATGTTTGCCGATGACACCAATCTTTCGTTATCTGCTAAGACGTTAACAGAGCTTAAGCTAGCTCTAACCCCTGAATTAAATAACCGTAGCTGTTGGCTGAAAGCTAACAAGCTCAGTCTAAATTAATGTTGCTAAAACAGAGCTAATGATTATTGGATCAAGACAAAGACTATCTGCCCAATGTGACGATGTAGAAATCAGAATTGATGCCCAAATTACCAAGAGAGTCGATCATACCAAATCCTTGGGTCTTACCATAGATGCTCAACTCTCTTGGGGTAAACACGTTGAAGAGATTTGCAAGAAAGTCTCTTGAGCTATTAGTCTGCTACACAGCCGTTTTCTGGCGGAAATGTTATATTTGTATAATTACTTCCTGAATCGCTGCTGAATCGGATAAACTTATTACCATACCCAGCATTTACATTGAACCAAGTAAAGCTCATGTTGATTATTCAGTTTAAACCAATAGCATACTCATGATTATTATATGGCTGAGTCTGTTTTCTGCGTGCGATTGGTCAATTTGCGGTCCGTAACTTGCTATACAGACCAAAATTTTTAAAGAAAATGCTCATTTCGGAAGTCTAAATCTCTTTACCTCGGAAAAAATGTTTAAATAAAGTTATAAGACGCCTGTCAACCTTGAGGACTTGGATGTTGACTTTGGCCTTCAACATTTTAAACTGTGTTTATTTGTGAACGAAGGCGATGAATAAACTAACTCGTAATCTCATCAAAGAGGATTCTAGTCAGTGATTGAAAATTTTATCGTAGTACACAGTTAAGAACACGAAAATCGACTGGCAGAGATTCGAGATGTTTTGCCTAAGAGAAAATGAGTAATTCCTTCAACAAATATGATAGCAAACATACCTGCACCCGATCATCTTGACAAGCTTCTTTGCCATTTGCAGTGTTTTTTCAAAGACCAACGAAAGAAAGATAGAAGCGAGTTCGAACCAGACACAATAATGTCCAGTTTTCAAAAGACTCCCGCGTCACATGAACTAGTGAATACTTACAGTGCTCTTAGTTTCCACCGAATAAACTATTAAATATGTATGTAAACCCTGAGGACTGGGATGTTGACTTTGCCTTTCCAAATGTTAACCTAGCTTTGTTTTAATGAGAACGAAGCTGTTGTAGAAACCGAATCGTAACCTTACCAAGGAAGAGAATTCTAGTCAGTGTTTGAAAATTTTGACCCAGATCACAATTGAAGACGAGAATGAACTGGTAGAAAGAAAGGTTTTCCCAAAAACAATTAACGAGCGAATCCTTCGACAATGACAACAAACTTACCTTGAACAGCTTCTTTGCCTTTTGCAGTGTTTTTTTCACAAGGACAAACGAAGGAAAGATGGAAACGACTTCTAGACAGACACAGTGTCCGGTTTCCAAAATACTCCAGCGTTACATTAAAGAGCTAGAACTTACAGTGTTCTTAGTTTTGACCGAATAAACTTTTTTAACATGGCGAATTTGTTTTCATTTTCTCAGAAAGCCTTTGTTATGTGCTATTGTTTTCGTGCGCCAATAAAAACTTTCTTTTTTGACACCTGTCAAATGACTGTCAAATCGTGCGTCCTGCACTTGTTTCCGATCCCCCAAACAGGAAGAAGCCATATAATAAACATCTTATTAGCCTCGTTTTTTCGGTCCGTACTGTTTCTTTCTTCTTTCTGTTTCGTCCGTACTGTTTCTTTGACTTTATCTTCATATTATCTGAGATATAGGGTGAAAACAGCTCTTCCATTATCTCTTCTTTCATTTTCCATGGCCCTTTCTGCCTCTCCCATTTCACCCTTATTATAGCGGAGCTCCACGCGCGCGCTTCGCGAGACCCATATCTAAGTAAATCTACCCATCCCAGAAAATTTGGTAATCACGTGACCGTACACCGACCGACCCCCCCCGAGAGACCGTCCGTCCGCACCACGGGAAAACCAATGTTTACTTTCACTCTTTCTAACTTCTTTGGGAGCCCAGGAGTAAACTGATTGAACATTAATGTTGTGATCAATTGACAGCTGTCAAAACAAGGTATCCGCTGACAAGTATCACCTGACCGTATCGCAGGCTCAGGTGTCGACCCATCGAGGTCGAGTACTTTTTTGAAGTTATCCGCTGACAAGTTACTAGTTTTCAAATGATCGCAGGCTCAAGTTTATTTTTGAAAAAATTCATATGAAATATGCTGTGTTTATGTCACTATGCCCCCGCGCTATTAAGATTTTGATTTCAAACTAACCTCGGACGCGGAAATTCAGTCGGTTATTTAGAAATACAGCCGGGGAAGACCTTTTCTTGCCAAGGTCATGCGTTGGTCACGCTCTACGTCCAATTTTTATGCTTTGATTGGTCAAAATTTGATAGGTGAGTTCATGTGGAAAATTTATGCAGCATCTTGAAACTTGTTCACTTTGACAGCTGAAGCTGACAGAGTTTTTTGTCAACTTGTAATGTTTTTAATTGTCCTCTTCCACTGAATGTACAAAATGAAATACAGCTGCTATCAAGAGTCTTCTGTTATTCATGGTTAGTTTGTTTATCGATTATTTGGTTGAGAGACGCGTCGCTTGTCGAAGTCCGAAATCCGATTTCGGATGGCATGGTTTTCTTTTTTCACCTTGCCTGATACGTAGGAGCGGTTCAAAAGTCTCAAGCGATTCTGGCCTTACTTGATAGCTTTCAGGAGCTGCATCCCGAATGGTAAGGCTGAGTTATTATTGTATTTGATGTTTGTTTTTTTTAAATCTAATTTAATGAAGTCGAGCACCGTTTATGCGGCAAGTTTATGCACGTTTGTAAGATTTGAGACAATGATCTGATCTAGTATCAGGTTTGATATAAGCTTACAGAACTTTAAAAAGCCTATAGGTATATTTTCTCACCGCAAATAGAAAACGTTCCGAAGAATATTTAGTTATAAATTTGGCTGTAGAAAGAAAACTTTGAGCGATTTTCTTGCCTCGAGTCATCTGTGGAAAAAAGCAAACACCGGCAGGCCGGCTTAAAACATAAACTTAAGCTTTAAGCTTTAAGATGCAGGATTTTTAGAAACACTTTAATACTTGTCTTTGTGAATCAAAATTGTTGTCTCTGCAAATGTTTCTCCGAATTATATTTCTTTCATTGATTGTTAGTAGTCTCTCTTGCAATTTTAATCGCTGTCTCGTTTGTTTTCAGTTGTTCATGAACATTAACGGCTTGGAAAATAAAATTTCGAGGACATTTTTGGACTTTTTACATTTAGGGCATGAATTTTTCGTCATTTCAGGCCATGGAACCTAAAAATGAGCCTAGCTAGCTGTAAAAAGGGGCAATACGGAGGCAATACGTCCTAGCCGGCATGATCACATGCTGTTTACGGAAAATTCCCTCATCCATGTCAGGAAATTCTGTATTTTAAAGCCTCCCCTAGGGCATGACTCAGCAACTGAGGACATTTCTGCTACGTTTTCAAAGTTGGTTAGCATGCAAAGATTTTTCCCATGCCTATCGTCAACGATTTGCTCACTGGTAATAGAGGGGGTGGCCCCAGAGTGATTTTGCATTGAAATTGGCATGCAACAGAATTTCGCATGCCCTGTAAGCATAATCTGAGGTTCCGTGACCGTCTCACCCAGGCCGCCAGAAGCCTAGGTTCTAGTAATAAGTAATTCATAACCAGCAAAATCTCCTGCATGCCGGGTATGCCAAATTTTCTGGCATGCCCGGCATGCCAAATTCTCTGGCATACCGGGCGTGCCATAATCTGGGTCATGCCGGGCATGCTTTCAACGCACAGATTATAATTCCTTGAATCTACAGATGTTTTAAGCCTGGCTTAAAAAAAAAAAACTAAACAGATCACAGTGCTTATCTTTTGATGTACGGTTACACGATGACGTCATTGCTATTCCTTTCATTTTCATAGATTTGGTTGTCCCAGCGAAGTTTAAATAACAAAAGCTCTAATTTTCACAAGAAAGAAAACCCCTGAGGGATTCTGCCGTAGTAATAAAACAGCGTCATCGTGGAGATGACCTGTTGGGGGATTGTAAAAACTCCTCACCCCTTTTAATGAGTCTTTAATAGGATTCCCATTTCACATTGCGAATAAAATGGAATTGACTGAAATCAGTAAAAAGAGAGACAGAGACTATTTTCATTGTATAATAAAATGCATCTATGTTCCATGAAAGCTTGTAAAAATACAAGGTTATAGAATATCTTTCAAAGTTCATTACAAACTGAGCTAAGCCCCAAAATCACTGTTCATTATTCCGTAAATCATGATGTTTGACAATGCAATGTGCTTGAATATAACGTTGCAATTACAAATCTCTCTAAAGCAAATTTCCCTACGTTAGAAAAGCTGTTTTTATCTTGTTTCACATTTTGATAAGGAGTCTGAGTTCCTCTTTCTTGTTGTGTAGGCTTGCCAGGGATTAATGTTTTTGTGTCATTACCAGTGTCTGTGTTTGTTGTTTTTAACTCAAAGTAAGTCAGTAATAACTGACAGTATCAAAGAATTGCTCTCTAGAAAAGTAATTATCTCCTAGTCATGTCTGGAAGTTACCTGTAACAAAAAAGAAATGGAATGTTAACACATGCAAGGGCAATATGAGAAAAAAGAAAAAGAACATGTAGAGCTCAGCTTTTCTCAACATATTTTCATACTGGCTTGTTCAGTCTGTTAAAGGTCGCAACTAGTTGTCTGAGGCTAATTTCACAAGAGTGTGCAATTGAGATAAATGCATGGTAAATAAAGTGAAAGAAACCAGGGGCGGATCTAGGGGGAGGGTGCAGGGGCTGAGGACCCCCCCCTCTGAGATGACCTGCGGTTTTCTAATACAACTGGTATTCCGCCAAAAAAAACTATGTGGTTTATTGGTGTTGAAGTAGAGTAACAGACGAGTGCACCCCCTCCTAAAAAAAATCCTGGATCCGCCCCTGGAAACGTGGTTTTACATTAGCCAATTTACATTGCGTTGTTCGATGATGTTTACACGCTCTTCTACTGCGAAATAAACCTTTGCATTTGGATTTGCAAGTCTACCGAGTTTGACTGACACTTAATTGAACAACGGTTTCATTTTTAAGCAGGTAAGGTGTAGACCCATATAAAGCCGGAATATGTCAAGGAAATTCAGCAAAAACTTTTTCGCATCTTTTTGTGGCGATATTCTCTCACGGCCAGTCAACTGATTAGAGGATGCGAAGAAAAAATAAATTAGAACCAAAGGTTAAAGCCTGTCCGGTTACATCATTTCGTATGTTACCTAGAGTTCTAATAAATAGGTCATAAAATAGGATTTAACGAGAGCGAATTTGTTTCTCAATCGGTGTATAAAAAAGTGAAGCTATCAAATGAGAGGCTTATAGAGTATCAAAATTATTAAAGTAAAAGCTCATATAATTAGGAAAATTCCTATACGAAAGAAATGCTAGTGACATTAAATTGATCACATAAAATTCTCAGAAAATATGTCGCATAAAAGCCTCATTGTTTGCTTTTGTTTTTGCGTAAAGGTAAATTTTTCGGCCCACAAAGCAAAGTTGAAAAAGCGACTAAATCTTAGTTTTTTACATTGAACATGTTTATTAGCTTAGTTTTCGTCCGTTTTAAAAGCTTTATAACCCAGTCATAATTTTCGGGTTAAAATAGTACAAAATCATTTCAAAAACCATGTTCATTTAAAGTAGAGGCGGCAAACATGAACATTTTGTAATTCAAAAGTCGGACCCAGCCAGGTTGTTTAAGCTTAGAATTATTTGCTTTTTAGCGTCTTATAAATTTACCAGAATCGCCTCTCAGAGGCTTACTGCAGCAAAGCATTTTGTAGTACACTCGTAGACAAGCAATGTAAGCCTTAAGTCTTTGCTTGGATGAGATGTCCAAAAGAAAAATTAGTTTTGTGGACCTAAAGGCACATTCACAGACTGCTTATATGGAGTTGTTTACAACTTTGCATTGACACCTGCAGCATGTTCATTTTTATAAAGCGAAATCCAAATCTGATTTTGGCATTTGATTTACGGATATTTTATTTTGTCTCCAAAAGTGATTGTAATATCCGTTTGATTGTCTTTCGAACAACAGTCAAACTATGCAGCAAAAATAAGTAACTTTACCAGTACAGTGAAAAAAAATGACCGTAGGTGCCAAAAATAATTATACTCGAGCTATAAAACTAGATCTGACTTTTTTAACTTTGGTTTCTTTATTTTTGAGGTTTTCTCTAGTCTTCTTAGCAGCAGAAGAAGATTGCAAGACATACAATCAGAAACAATCCGAAGTGAACGAGTTGACAACCACTTATGATGGAGTTCTTAGGCATGCTCCTCAACAGTAAGATAAACTGAATGCCAAAAGACTAATTCACGGGATTTGTTCGATATTCAGGCTTTTTCTTTACCAAATTAATACTAAATTTGTACTTACAGTCTCTCGCAGAATCCATTTCTTGTCCAGCATTCACCAACATCTCAACCATGCACCGCAGAAAAAAAAGACAAACAAATGCGAAGAGACATGACAACATCGTGACGCCACAACTGCCACGCTACAAAAAAACTAGATTCATCGTCATCCGAAAACACTTCTGCGGAAATTCGGCCGATTTCGTGCGTGCTCGGGGTATCTTCGGATGACGCAGATGACGTTGCTCAAAGGACTATCGTCAGCAAGGACTAAACCAGTTTGCGAGATTCACATAGCCGACAAGAAGCGCACTGAAAAACTAAGCAAAATCTCTCTGAGAAGGCAGTCCAAATTCACCAGATCAGAACGTCTTTGCAGTATTAACGTCGTACTCTCGTACTGACTTGAACGACCTGGTAAGCTTAATTTTCACCAGTCTTTTATGCTGTTGACCAGGAAACATTCCGACGCGATAAAACTTAAGCATGGATAAGTTTATACTGAGAAGATTTGTTATCTTATTGTTTAAGACGCTTTTCCGCGATCAAATTTAAATATGGACCCAGAAATGTCAGTATCGGTTTGAAATAAAAGGATTAATCTTTGATTGCAAGTTAAGTATTCTATTTTATGCATGAAAAATGTTGTTTTGTTGTGCTTTTCATTTATAAATCCAGGCTTCTGTCTTCGGTTTTGCCTGTCGATCCCATGACACACATTGTGACAAACGAGACTTTTTTTTGTTATAATCTGCATTTATTGCCAGGCATGAAACCTGTAACTTCAAGCTCCCTAAGATATATTTGGCGATTATATGTGATTCTAGGGATATGATGCTGAAGCGAACATCAAAATCAGTCTCGCTGGGCATGCCAATTTCTTGCCTGGCATGCCGGACATGCCAAACCAACCGGCTTCACCATCGGCATGCCCGGCATGCCAAACCAGAGGAGCAAAAACTGGGAATGAATTATCAACCCGGCGAGAGATCTGGGACCTAAGTTTAGCCGGGTCAATTTTGGGCTGCGAGGGCATGAACCCTTTTTTTCCATGCCTATGAGATGTTATTTCTAAGTACCAATGTTCCCTTGAATTTTGCCTTTTCCTAAATATATAAAATTTTCCCTCTCTCATTAATCCTCAGACTGGATGCTATTTTTGCGCTCGCTAGGCATGTTCAACTGAAAATCATGCCCATACCCTTATTCAAAACAAAATGCTATCAAATCTTAGTTTCCAAGCCGTTACATTGCTCGCTGTACTCAAAATACCACGCTTATCAAACGCTTTTTAAGATTACACATCATTATAAAACCATTAAATAAAAAAATAAAAAATAAAAATAAATTCTTTATTATGTTGAAGCGTAACTCTATTAATGTTCACTGCAAATTTGGCGCTCTTCAAAAGTGAGAACCGGCTGGCCGTATAAGTGATTTTGGAAATGTTTTGAACGGTTTCGCTAAAAGCCCACGACTGATCGTGCTGAACATTGACTGAGTGCAATTTGTCTTGAAAAATTGTGAAATACTGCATTCTGTCCGAGGTCTTTATGATAAATAGTACTGTTTCACCTCAGATGTGATGTATAAAAAGTATGAAAGGTTGGTTTACACACCGCCAGATTTGTTGGTAAGATTTTGCAAAGTAAACTTATCCAAAGCAAAAAATTCGGCCTGATTTGTTTTCCAAGAATTTGTTTTCCGGGCCTAATCTACTGTGATCAAGAGCCATTATGGCTCTTGAATGTGATGGAAGATGATTGCTATTTTTTGGGTGTACATATAAGGCTTTTAACTTCACTCTAAAATCAATTAACCTTTCCCTCACTCATGAAAGTGCCCATAAGTTAAGTGATTTGTGTATTATAAGTTTATTGTTTGATTTAAATTATAAATTTATTAATGGGAGCTTCGCTTTTAGCCCCGGCTAAATCTATATATTATGCATGTGTAACTTGCGCCTTTAACCTCTTAGTTGTTGTCTCCGGTACCTTGCAAGCTTCAGTACCTTATTATTAAGGTATGATCTAACATTTGCGGGTGTCATTTCTGGCTGACTTATAATTTTCTCAACATTGTCATAATCAGTGATTTCCAGATCTTTCAATAATCTCATTAATCCTGTCTTCCTCATCTAGAGCACAGTCATCCTCATCATATTCTAGAAGCAAATCTTGTTGCTCTGGTCGTAAATATATATTGAGGATCAAAATATATTTGTTTCTTACCCTCTAAAACATCTGCTAATGATTCTTCATAGGGACGTGGTTTTGGCACTTGTTTATTTTGTTTTGGTCGTATTTCTTCATCAAATAGAATATCTAATGCATAATCTGAGGTTGAATATCTTCATCACCTCCTGCTTGAATACCACGTTTTCTTTGCAATGCTGGTAGTTTCAGATTACCCAACGCAACATCGATCATCTAATTTAGTTGTTATTGGTTTGAACACCTTTTGAAAAGCTTCCTGACTTGTTTTTAAGATTGCATGCACAGAATCGGATTTTATCACCTAGTTCTGTTTTTCTCTTAGCATGTTCTTTCCACTTAAGTAAACTCATTTTTCTTATATAATTAGGTTACACAAATTCACAAATACTGTATAAAACAAGTAGTTGAACTGGCAGTTGAACTCAAAACTGCGTAAGATATATATATATATATATATATATATATATCTTACGCAGTTTTGAGTTCATTATATATATATATATATATTATGGTAATATAATGAATTATGAATTGAAGATTTCATCAGCTATTAAACTACGTTCTTCGAGAGGAATTTCTTAGAATGTCTACAATTAGATATCAGTTCGCTTCTGTTGTTCAGGGTTATTATCTGTAAACCCGAAATGTCAACCCTGAACAACAGAAGCGAACTGATATCTAATTGTAGACATTCTAAGAAATTCCTCTTGAAGAACGTATTCGCTTAGCAACCAATCATATTTCTGCATGTCACGCCACTATGCATTGTTCTGTATTTTCAAATTTTGTACATCTTCATATGTATCCGTTATTTTTGGCAGTTGCCTGATGATTGCTCCGCAAGGAGCATGAAACTCTGAGTAGCAATAAATGTCTTCGACCAAATAATCCAACTCTGCAAAAAAAAAGGAAAAGAATAGGCCGGCGGCGCTAAAAATACATGTATATACCTGCCAACTTTTTCTGAGATATAAGCGTGAGATTTTTATCCTGGGAGTGCTGGGATTTTTTAAGACGACACGATCATTTCCGAAGATTCCCGAAGACGTCCGAAGTCTGCCAAAGGCGAGCTCGCTCCCAGTGCTTTTCACTTCAAAAATCAGAGATCGCGAGGAAGGTATTGCCATTTATTCATTTTACACATGGTTTTCGTTCCTTACATGGGTCTGAGTTAACATATTTTTGGAAATTGGGTCAAGCAGGACGGCAACAACTCACATTTTTCAATCAGGCGTGAGAAATTGGCCCGCAGGCGTGAGCCGGCGTGAGATCGAAGTTTTCAACCCCCAGGCGTGAGACCCACGCAGTTGGCAGGTATACATGTATAAGTATTCAGCAACGTGACACTCAGGGAACGCATCTCAAATAATGCGACTAGATGTCAACTGAATAAACAAAGTTTAGATATACCAGCGATAAACCATATCATTTTAGGAAAGTTTACTATAGTAAACTTTGCTTTCATTCTACCGCCGTTGCCACCGCAACAGACTAGATCTGTGTTTACCATAGTAAAATGAGAAAAGCCGGTCACATTAGAAAACGTGTTTACAGTGGTAAACTCGACTTTACTATAGTAAAAAAAGCCCAAGTGTGACCACAGCCATTGTCGTTACGTTTGACGGTTGCTTGGTAGATAACTGATGATTGAAGACAGTTTCCGTTAAGAGGGCATGAGTTTTTTTGTCGGCAGTTACATGATTTGTTGTCAACAGAGTTATCTGTGGATTTATCTGTGTGTTTGGATGCATTCAGGATACGCTTGTTGTGGTTGTCTATAATTTGTTTAGTGTTATTCATGCAACTGTAACTGATCTTGATGGTATTGCGGTTGAAGATTTTTCTGAGTTTGTTCTCTTTAGGGAAGTGTTTGTCTACTAGGGTGAGGAATCTGTGACCGATGTTGGTGTTGACGTTTTTGCTGAATGGGGGGTTGTACCAGAGGATGTTGGTGCGTTGTCTGTTTCTCCGTTTAGCAGTTGTAGTCGGTTCGTAGTGTAGAGTGTAGTGGTATCCGCTTTCGTCGAGTGCTTTTTGGTACGGGGGGGTGGATGGGTCGAATGATGCTTTGTCCGAGGAAAGGGATGATAGCCGTGTGTTGATGCCGGCGGGTATGTTCTTTGTGGTGATCGGTGGGTGGTTGCTCTCGCGACGGACGTACTGTAGCGTGGTGTCAGGCTTTGTGAAGGGCCGGTAGGTGCTGTTGTTAAGGTTAAAGGTGACGTCTAGGAAGTTAATGATCTGTTTATTGGCTTCAATTGTGATGCGTAGTCCATTTTGGTTAAAGACTATGTATATATGTATATATATATATATATATATATATATACATTAAGGTTATTTGAAACTGTTGAAAGGGTTGCTAAGTAACAGAAACATTATATAAGAGGAATTAGCTGTCGTTATAAAAATGTTTTTGTTACCTAGCAACCCTTTCAACAGTTTCATATAACCTTAATGTAACGCATCTACCATAGCAACCATTTAAATTTTCGCATTTAACTGCCAGCATTCCAATTCCAACAGTTCAGTCGTCAAAATTGCCTGATGAGTGTGGTCCTTGCATCATACGAAACAGTTCTGTAGCAATAAAACGATGATTACTCGTGAAACCTGAACTTCTGTGAAGTTATATATATATATATATATATAATTAAAATACTCAACTATGATGTTAAAGATAAACAATCTGACTATAAACAGAAAGTCTCATTTATGCCTGACAGGTGTTTTAGGATGCTTGTATGCGGTCCTTCAGGTTCAGGCAAAACTAATCTTTTTTTGGATATGATCTATAGATTGCTGTATTATGACAAGATATTCTTGTATGCTAAAACTCTGCAACAGGACTTGAGCAAGTATCAGCATTTAATCGACTTATTCGGACCTATTAATGAAGAAGCTGGTTATCCTATTATTGAAGCTAGCAATAATAAAATAATTCCGCTGGATAAGATGCCATTTGACAATCAAAAGTTAGTCATTTTTGATGTTTAGCTCAATACAGGGACAAAGAATGATGCTGAGATCTCAACTACTTTACTAATTCAAGAAATAAAAACTGCAGCTGTATCTATCTGAGTCAGTCCCCTTATAACACCGATAAAACGCTGAATTCGATTAAACTGCACACATCATTGTATCTTTGAGTTTCCTTTTAGCAATGAGCAGAATAAGATATGCAGAGTGTTTGGAATCAGCAAATCTCACTATCAGAGAGCCACACAAGAACCATATGATTTTATTTATGTTGATAAGCCCAAAAAACGTGTTGCGAAGAATTTTAATGAAAAGATATAATCTTATATACATACAGTGAAACCTGTATTAAGCGGACACCCTCGGGGAATGCTGTAGTGTCCGCTTAATACAGGTTTCGATAGATAACGCCATATGAGGTGTCAAATGCCATTCAAATGAACGGTGGAAACGTTTAGAATACCTTCCAGAGACTATGAAGATATACGATTGCATTAATTTCTTTATTAAAGTGGGCCAGTTGATCATAGTACCATGAACAAAGATTGCACTCAATTTTGAAGAAATCAGATGAGTGATACAAGTTCTATATACAAACAAAACGAAATAGAAAAACAATACTGTAGTGTGAAACAACAAATAAGTTCGTCAAGTCACGTTTTTTAAAAATGTAAAAATCAAAAAATTGTGGGTGGCAATCTTTCGCATTTCCGGTGTCTGGCAAGTTGGGTGGTGGAATTTAATGCCAAGTGTCCGTTTGGCAACAAGAGAAATGACCATCTCAGGTACTTTTTAGGTGTCTGCGTCCGCTTAATAGAGGTGTCCGCTTAATTAATAAAGGTTTCATTTCAAGTAAATAAGGTAAATAAATTTGGGGACTTCGACTACTGTCCGCTTAATAGAGGGTGTCCGCTTAATACAGGTTTCACTGTATACCGTAAACTGCCGCTTATGGTTATAGGCCCACCTACATGCAAACAAAAAAATACATCCGATTATAAGCCCATCCGGATATAAGCCCCAGTTACAGTTTTGATTTTGTTTTGTAATTTAACTGAATTCGATTTATTGCTGCCTTTTTAAGGCTTCAATTGTAAGAGTAATAAATTTAAATCATACGTTGATCAACAGTGCCGTTGCTCATTTCGAAACGTTTTTTTTTTTCGTCCGCTTATAAGCCCTTCCGGATATAAGCCCCTGGCTTATACGCGGCAGTTAACGGTATATGAGTTATTCAAATGGATTATTCAACTTTAAAAGTCAAACTTCCGGCCAAGGTGAAAGAGGCAGGCCTGGAGAAGGGTTTAATCTCACATCAGATGGAAACTTATGACATGGTAAATAAAAAACTGAAAAATGTTGGTGAAGGTACTGCTTCCAGCGATGCAATAACGAAACATCAACTTGATACAGCAATGATTGATAAACATGATAATAATCAAAATATTGATCTTGAGAATACTTACAACGTCATAAATAGTAAAAAGAGAACCAAAACACAATTAGACAGGAACAAACCATCAATTGTTAGTTATGATGAAGTTAGAGATAATTTTTTATCAAGAAGAGAGGCTCTTGCAATGGATTCATTTATAAATATGGATGGACATACAATTCAGCATCTGCCACTACCAGTAATCAGTCATCAAGTGACCAACAAGCAGTATGTTGATAGTGCATTATCAGTGCTACTCAGTTTGAAAATGTTGCAAGACAAGTTCTTTACAAGCTAATGAAACAGACCTTGATGATTATTTGAAAAAAGATGGTAGTTCTAATATGACTGGAAGTTTACATCGTAATAAAATCATTAACCTAGCCAATCCATCTGATAATGCAGATGCCGCAAATAAAGCTTATGTTGATCCCGGCTTTTTAAAACTGTCGTGGTGGTAATATAACAGGTCCAGTAAACAAAGACCCTCAATCATTTACTCATTGCAAGGGCTTGCTAAATTATGCAGAAATGCAATTTTGGTTTCTTGAGAAAAATAACCCATATGTTGGGAGAAGATTTAATATGGTCAATCATAAGATAATCAATCTAGCCGACCCAACAGATTATAAAGACGCTGTTAACAAGCAGTTTTTGGAACAAGAGGTCCCAAAATCGCATATTAAACCAAATCATTACAACAATGTATTTAAATACTTGATGGCTAATAAATTAGAATGGACTGATCTTTTAGTAGATAGTTTTTTTCATTTCTAAAATTGATAATTTATGTCCTCATTAGGGCAACTATCATCAATATAATCATAAAGATCTATTCACAACCAGGATCAAAAAGGTGGATACACATATGAGATAGGGATACAATGTTTTCCACTTGTCATAAATAGAGATTACGCTCTTTGTATTGAAATATTGAATTCAGATCACCAATTATGGCATAAATCAATTGCTACAATTGATAAAACTAAATCACAAGGGTTAACAATTGATGGTGCCGCGATACAAAACTTTTCTCATAGATATACAAATAATAGTGGGAGTGTTGAATACATGTATTATATCAAAATAATTGTAAATTTCAAAAAACTGCACCGGATCCGCTTTATAGCGTACATCGTTATGTTGATATAAAGCAAAATGGTGATGATCTTAATACGTATCCAGCAAATTGGATAAACAACTGGATTATTGCTTATGGTGTTTTTAGAAAAAAACATCATCAATTGACCCTCCCCCCCCCCCAAAAAAAAAAAAACACAACAACAACAACAAAAAAACAAAAACAAAAACAAAAAAACCCTATGATTATCGTACAGCCTTTGATATCAAACCAACAAAAGTTATTATTTCCGGCATTCTTTTGGATGAATCAAACGTTAATAGTGCTGCCACTGTCGAATATGTGACGTCACACAGGCAAGCGGAGTGGGTCAAGAAACGTAAGTTGAAAACAACAATAAGAGTCACCTTCCCCCCACCCTGTTTAAGATCGAAGAAAATGGTAAACTACCTTTTCTAGACCGCTTGGTCACTCGCCACAACAACAGACTACGAACGACATTTTCATAAAACCGACACATACCGACCGATTACTAGACCAGTCATCGTACAACCCGACCTCTCACAAGGCTACAACTACACGAACTTTGACAAGACAAGCGCAGCTAGTTTGTGAATCGCCTGACAGCCTACAAGACGAGACTGACTACATTAAAACAACGAAACGCGCCAATGACATCACGAGTCTTTATAGCCAATAACATCACGGCTTAACTAACAGACGACTAGTAACATCGCGACTTCATTGACCAATCAGGTCAATAACCAGGGTTTATCACCATCAACTGAAGTGATCCAGCTCACTTTGACTCTCAAGATGACTACTGCACTGGTTGTCGAAACGTCAGTCACTGTCAACAACAAAGGACCTATTCAGGACTACGTTCACCTGGACGAAAACTAAACATACTTATGAAATGACTCCTGGGTTCAAACCTTTCACATTTGTGTTTTTATTCATTCAAAATAATTCCTAGTTTAAAAACAAGCTAAAACATGCCTACCTTCAACAATGTTAAATTCATCTTCGATATTGCATGTTTATCGGCAAGTTTAGGAGATAAAAGGGTTGTTCAATTCTGCAAATGTTCTCCAAATAGCCTATAGATAGCCTATTTCTTTTACGTGAAACGAGTGAAATGCTACAGCATCTGGTACTCACTACCAAAACAACTCAACCTGATCCTTAGGTCTTTTCCTTGAACTGTTCAGTTCTCTGGCAATTATGCTGTACAATTGACATTATTATTCACATATCGCAAAATTCTTCCAAGTAGTCAACGGTAGCTGGTTATGAAAAATTATGCGTGGGATTTTAGCCAATAAGAAACAGAGAAATATTTTGAACGAATAATTGCTGGCGAGCCTTATGCGAGCCAACAAACGATCTTCTACAATGGCGGGAAAAAGCCGAAATATGTTGGATGTAGGATCAGAAGCATGCGCAGTCAATCGGTTTTTTTATTATCCGGGGTATTTACTCTAGTGAGATGACATCACGTAAAACTGAACGCACATGGACGAGATCGAGAGATTTCGAGTAAATTTTGAGAGAGCGAGTTGGTTATAAACGAGGTGAGCCTTTAGTAATTACTTTTCTTTACTTTTTAGATATCTTTATTTGCTTGTGGAAGTATTCCTCAAGGTCTCGATCCACAGCGTTTTAGTGATGAATTCGACGAGGAAGAGAAGAGATTTATATGTGTTTGGCTGCTCTATTTGCCGATTTTCGAATAAATGGAGGTGCGAAGATATCGATGAAATTCTCCTTCATTGAGATAATTTTTCTTCTGTGTATTCAGCAGGCGTGGTGTGCCAGGCAAGAATTCTTCTGTTCGGAATAAACTGCTCTTCTTCTAGAGCGATTTCGGTACCACATGTAATTAATCAAAGAGTATTCTTCACCCGTTGAGGCGTTAAATTTGATCCTTGTGTCAAAATCCCTGCCCGTTTAAGTAAATAATTCAGCTGATACTGTCCTTGAGTCACATTTGTTCGTTGAGGTGAAAGAAAAGCTTGAAACCATATGGATTCAAAAAGTGAATCGCCCTTTGAAACTAACCCCTAGCTAAAGGCTACCGTCGGGTCCAATAGTTTTTAATCCTTTAAGTCAAAAGAAAACCCCTCGAGCACCACATTAAGCTCGTAAAAACCCATGCGTCGATATCTTAATTGCACCTCCATTCGCAAATCGGCAAAAATTGTTGACATAATAGATCAGCATAACACTGTCGCCCACGGGAAGCCCAGACGTAGTCGGTGACATTAACAATACCTAACTGTACCTAACTCTCAGTAACTGAGAGGATTGATCGGAACTGTAGTCGACGATCTTCCATTTCAGAGGAGTTCAAAAAAGGAAATATTTCAAATAAATTTATCTTTACCATTATGTCTTAGTGTATTTACTTGTCCTGGGTAATTTACGACTGGAACTGGCATTTTGGGGAGTTTTGCATTTGTAGGTACTCAGGTTCCACTACCTACGAGTGCAAAACGCACCAAAATGCCAATTAAGCCGGCCAGGACTAACAAGGAGACGTTCAATTAAAGGTGTGTAAGATTTGTTTGTAATATTCTGACCTCTACGCTATTTTTTTTTTCGATATTACCATTAATTTAAAGTATTTTTTAAATGTAGAGGCTCGTATAAGAGCTACTAAGGGTGTCGGATTCGAAGAGAAACAGAAGAAATTCCAGTCGTAAATTACCCAGGACAAGTAAATACACAAAGACATAACGGTAAAGATATATTTATTTGAAATATTTCATTTTTTAACTCCTTTTAAATCGAGTATCGCCGACTACGTACAGTTCCGATCAATCCTCTCAGTTAGTGATCTATATAGGGTATTGTTAATGTACGCCACACTTTACTTATGGGCTGCCTGTAGTCTGCCTCGGGACTCATCACTTAAACAGTTCGTGATCTCGATGAAATTATTTCCATGGGCAAATAAAGACATCTAAAAAATAGAAACAAGTAATTACTAAAAACTCAGGCCTCATTTAGCATCTGCTTTCACACTGGAAATTTACTCGAAGGGCTTTTCCCAGGCGGTGTGTGCTCTGGGATTGCAATGCATTGTGGATGTAGAATTTTCAAGACGGCGGCGAAGGTCGAGAAATTTCCCAGTTTATATGCTTTATTTTTCCATTGAAATATTTCTTTTCTGAAAAGGGTTTCCACAATTCCATAAATTTAAACTTATTTAGACTTTCTCGGCGATAAAAAAAATCGATATTCCATCCTCACTACAATCTAAAACACGGAGCACGAAGATTCATCCTCTACGAGCATGAAATGTGAACCCGTCGTTTGGAGAGCTATAATTTCTATCGTGGTGCCCATTGACAACAGAAAGTAGTCTTAAGTGTTTTTACAAAGGTTGTTCTACGCCAAGGTATGAACGCTCCCTAACAATCCCCACATTTTGTAATAGTTTTTTCAAATTAAAACCGACATGTTATCACAAGAAAATATGGCCTCCCAACAGACGTGACATGTCACTGGAAATGTCACTCTTGTAATTACAAGTTAATTACAAAATATTTCATATTGGTTATATACAACGGCATGTAACCAGTGGACGATTGCACATAACAAATGTCAGATTTATGAAAAAATATATGAATGAAAAATGGCCTATTGTTGTTGTAACCTTTTGAAGTCTGATTGATAATAAATGAAGTACACCAATTAAAATGAGAATATGATGCGTGTGAAGCCTCTGAGAGTACAATGAAAGCACATGAAACAACTTCCACTTAGTCGCAGCCATCAGGCCAATGGAGCGTTGCTTATCAGAAACACAAGAGAGGAAGACTCAGGAAACTACATATGTGCTGCAACAAGTGCAGCAGTGTCCATTGTAGAAAACCGCTAAAGTAAAGCAAAACAGGCGGCTCGTGATGTCGCTTCACTAGCTTTATAACCACGCTGTAGGTACTGCAATCTTGCTTCAATATGCGCCGTTTATTCCATATTTTTACTCTGTTTGTAGTTTTGTTGTCCAATTTTGACGTCTGAACCTAGATTCTGCCGTTTTTCATTGAATTTTGCCTCACTAGTTTTGTACTTATCAGAAAAAGTTGTTGTCAATGATTGCCGATTTAGCTTTCAATCTTGAGTAAACAACAAGAAACGATCACTTTTCCAGCAGTCGGTTATAGACGTTTTCATTTCGAATTTTTTGTTTATATATATACTTGTCACTCACATCGCCTTCTTATATTTGAAGTCAATTCAAAATCTTAAGAAAGGTATGTGTAATTAGCTCTTTTTATAAAGCCTTTGTGCAGTTTTCATCCCGCTTGATTGAACTAATCTTTATAAAGTAATTATTCAGCCGAAGAAAATCTTTGCTGTATTTTTTTTTGCGTGGCGTTTAATATCAAGCTCGTCAATCTTTTTACCCTTATTTGACACTCAGATTATGAATTGTCTACCAAGACACAAAAACATTTCTTTATTCAAAAAGAGAGCTTACATGTGATAAAATAAATGTAGTGAGCCAAAAATCATGTTGTAATCAGTGGTGATGTTTTGTTTTGGTTTGCAATCGACAGCGCGCTTCATTAACTGGAACGCTTCCGACTTCAGCACATAGTTGGAGGCTGAAGTAAAATTTTCCTGAAACTTTTAAATCTCAGTATAGTAGGAAACAAATAAAAATGTTATTCACCGGCAGAGGTGGGTCTGTATTGGGAGAAAAGTACCAATCCAGACCTCCCAGCCGGTGAATAACATAATTTATATTTAAATTATTGTGTATATAATGTATGTATAATGTATTTAAGCATTTGGGCGGCAAAAACATGTTGGTCAAGTGATGTGTTGGATAAACGCATCCCATTTAGCGTAACACCGAGGGAAAGTTGCGAAGGTAAAACTTAACACAGTTATACCACATGTTAAATTTAGCCGTCGAAAATGAGTAATACGACTCAAGTTTTTGTTATTGTGAAATGCTATTCCTCATTTTTGAATTATTTCAGTTCGACGATTCTCGGTATTTCCCTGATAGTATCTTAAATAGTTGCTTTGTTGGTGGGAGGTGTCCAAATTTCTCCGAGCGGCTCTGTTTTCAAACTCGAGGAAGTTGATGTTACCGAATTTCAAGTTAAAAATTAGGCCATTGAGACTCTGACACTGAAAACCGATTTTCAAATTTTTCTCGCTAGTAAGAGGTTTTTGGTAGAAACAATTTACACCACGTTTCTTAACTAACTAAAAACTACATATGGACAAAAATGAAAGAATCGATTTTTCAACTCTTGCTACGAAATCAAGATTTTGCTCGATTTTACCTTCCGTCGCTCTTAATAATTGTTGTACTGAGGGAAATAAACCAATTAAAAATGGTTTCCCCACCCAGTGTTCACGTGTGCTAAGGAAAGTATAACACTCAACGAGCAATCAACATTCATGTGTTACAGTGCATTGTTACTCTCGGATATCATAGCTAGATTTTTTGTTTAACATGCAGGGGCACCCAGCGGGAAATTTTGAGAAAAAGACCTAAAAACAACAACAAAGCGTGAATAAAGTTTTCTGAGACTATTTTAAGCATTTTGGGAGATTGCTGGAAAAAAATTATCTGTTCCTCACTCCCAGCAAGACTGATGGAAGAGTTCCCAGCCAGCAACCTTACAACCTGCAACCTGACTTACTGGGAAGTTTCATAGGGCACAATTCAGATCTTGAGTGGTAAGCAATCCATACAAGTAACCCGTAGCAGCTATTCTAGTCTTCAAATCCCCTCTGACACCCTGAATTATCTTTTTCCCAGCAACACTTTCCTTCCAAGGACTATTATTCCTTCCACATCTCCCAGCCAGCAAAAATTTGCATGAAGAACAGATATTTTGAGGAACAGATCCATTGGGTGCCCCTGAACATGTACATGTACATTGAAGAAACCAATAAGAGCTAAAGTAACATCATTCAAACTGTGTGTACTAGAAGGTTATGACGAGAGTACTTGTTCGTAAGTAACGTCACCTAGTATTATAAAATCTGATTCGTTTCTATTACATTACTTCATTAGTTCGTTTGGCAAATGGAGGTGTTTCGTATGGCCGTGTTGAAGTATACTACAGTGGAGCCTGGGGCACCGTGTGCGATGATCACTGGGATATCAAGGACGCAATTGTTGTTTGTCGTGAGCTGGGTTTCTCTAGAGCAACGTCTGCTCCACACGGTGCAAGATATGGTGAAGGTACTGGCAATATTTGGATGGATGATGTCAAATGTAGGGGAGGAGAAGCTTCACTGTTCAACTGTGAACATAGAAGAGTAACAGGCAATAGTGGTTGTAGGCACAGTGAGGATGCAGGTGTCCGTTGTGCGTAAATCAAAAGCAAGGATTCTTTTTCACAAATGCTGATTGGTAGTTTTTTAAATCAAGTTTAGGTTTAGGCCTTTTTCTCCTTCTATCCGAAACTTCACTGGAAACTATGTGGAAACGCATATTCCCGTCAATTAAAGGATGTTATTTGCGCCGACACCTTACATATGGACACAAGGTCAGTACGTACTTGATGGCGCCGACGCTGCTTGCATCCTTGAACTGACCAGAAAAACTATTTTCAAACGGTTTTAATTTCGACAGTGGCATTGAAGGGAAATTTTAATAAGAGAAAAAGCTCCTATCAAGAACAAACGAATCCTTCCTCTTATCTCCCCACCGCCAAAAATAAATAAATGAATGAATAAATAAATAAATGAGTTTAAATACCTGGGTGTCATCTTTGATGAACACTTCAGCTGGAGCGAACATGTTAGCAGTTGTTTCTAAAACTGGTAGGCAGGTCGGTCTGTTAGGACGTGTGCGCCGTTATGTCACTTCACATAGTGCCAATTCCATTTTCACATCAACGCAATGATTAGACCGACATTAGAATACTGTGCTGGGGTCTGGGCGTGTTGTGGGGAAGTAAACAGTGGAATTCTGGAAGCTCTGCAGAAGCGAGTAGGAATAATTTTAATAAAGACATCTAGTAGTGTCAATGCGATTGAAGCTTTGAAGTGGCCAAGTCTTAGGTCCAAGCGCGATGAACATATTCTAATACTTGTGAGCAAATGTGTACATGGTCGGTGCCGTCAGTATTTTAAGAACTATTTCTATCTTATTTAGACTCCTTTATTCAAAAAGTAATTACTCAGGGTAGTCCATTCAGGTAGCTTACAAAGCATCCCTGCTATCCAGGCTGCCCGCTATCAATAGAAGCCCTGAGTTCACTAACTAGACTATATATAAACATAATTAAATTGGACAATGGCAACATAACATATAAAGTAAAAGCAAGATCTCCCAAAATTATGTACGGTGAAATCTGTATTAGGCGGAAACCCTCGGGGAATGCTGTAGTGTCCGCTTAATACAGGGTGTCCGCCTAAAACAAGTTTCGATATATAACGTCATATGAGGTGTCAAATGCCATTCAAATGAACGGTGGAAACGTTTAGAATACCTCCCAGAGACTATGACCATATACGTTTGCATTAATTTCTTTATTAAAGTGGACCAGCTGATCATAGAACCATGAACAAAGATTGCAACTCAAATTTGAAGAAATCAGACGAGTGAAACAAGCTCTACACAAACAAAACGAAATAGAAAAACAATAGCGTACTGTGAAACTACAAATCACGTTTTTTTTAAAAAGTAAAAATCGAAAAATTTGTGGGTGGCAATCTTTCGCATTTCCGGTGTCCGGCATGTTGGGTGGTGCAATTTAATTACAAGGTTGTCAGCAATAGAAATGACCATTTCGTGTACTTTTTAGGCGTCCGCGTCCGCTTAATAGAGGTGTCCGCTTAATAAAGGTTTCATCTAAAGTAAATAAGGGAAATAAATTTGGGAACTTCCACTACTGTCCGCTTAATGGAGGGTGTCCGCTTAATACAGGTTTCACTGTACATTTACCATAATTATTCAAAACCATATTTCCATGGTAATAAAGAGATCTCCTTGCCACTTCTGTTCTTATAGCAGGCAAATGCTCTGAGAGATTGCTCTGGAGGGTTGAATGATCATAAATTTCCTTGTTAAAATAAAAATAGCCAATAAGCAATGAAGACTGAGCAGTCTATGAGTTCTGTTTCTTGGCTACCCTCAAAAAAAGAAGTGTGGGAAGTCTGAAACGCTGTATGTGTATTTAGCAGGAAAGTAATGTAATTGGGGACCCTGTTTTAACGTCTCCTACCGTAGACGGGACCGCCATTTTTTTACGTGGAATTTTAGGTGTGAAAAGAACTTATTTTATGCGCTTCTCATCCTCCCCCCACCCCAACCACCATGAAGGAAGTTTTAACAGAAAGCAAATTTCATTAAGAATAGTGTTAGCCCAAGGGCAATGATGTTATTTCAGCCGAGGCAGACGGCGAATAGTTGTTAATGATATCCCGTGCAGTATTCCTGCTGGCAAACCAAATTAAGGTGAAATATTTTTCTTAACACCCATGAACAAACTCGGTAATTGAATGCATTGAAAAATCCTTCATCAAATTCTTTAAGTGTAATTGTCAGAATTAAAGATTGTAATCAACTTTTAAAGGATTTTTTGATGGGCATCTATGGTGTACTGAATGTGTGAATGTATGTGATTTGGGGAGGGGGGGGGGGGGGGGGGGTTGAAAAAGTGTTATAATTTTAAGAGTTGTTTCACTGATTTCTGACTTTTATCCGTGAGCTTAACCCTACTCAGACCGTGCTTTTGTTTTTGCTTCCTGCGACCGGAGGAACCTCAGAGGCCCCCTCCCACTAGAACTTCGAAAACCGCTCATCCTACGGCCACCAAAACTACACACGATAAAGTTACAGTCTAACCTCTCTTTACGGACACCTCCATAATACCGACTGATCTCTCTATTACGGACAGTTGGTTTGGTCCCAGAAATGCCAAAGATCATAGATTGCCTACCTCTATAATACGGACACCTCTGTAAAGCGGTCAATTGGTTCTGTCCCTTTGGTGTTTGTATTAAAGAGCTTTAACTGTATCATCATTTCCAACGTCTGGACATAACTTGATTGACACAATGACATAATTTGACATCATCATGACGTCATATCATTGAATTTATAAAGCGAACTTAAATAGCAAGGTTTCTGATAAACTCAAGGAAGTTGGCTAACAGATAAGTGATCTTCAATAGCAGTGATGTCATGATGACGTCATTTTATTACTAAAAAAGGAACTGGAAACTTCCGCCATCTTGAGTTATTTAAATATGACTGGATTTTTGAAAACCGGGGTAGCAAAGAAAAAAACATCAACTTGTTCTACTACTTGTCAATTTAAAACAATAAAAAATCATTCAAAGTGCCAATTAAAAGCCTTTATCTGACGCCAGGCATTAAGTTTATGGTCCCTATGGGCATATCAATGAGTCCAAATCATCGCGCAGAATTGGCCACTCCAGAAAATACCATAACATACCATAATGCTTTTTGATTGTCACCCCAAAGTTTTGCACAGGCATTGTCTTCAGTTTCTCTTGGGAGTTAAAATGGCCCCAAGAGAAACTGAAAACAATGCTTATGCAAAATTTTGGGGTGTCAAACAAAGAACATTATGGTATGTTATGGTATTTCTGGAGTGGTCAATGGAGGGACATCATAAAAGGCGAGGCGGCAAATTTGAATGTTATTTAGCTAAGAAAAGCTCACAATAAGAGAAGAAAGGGCTAAAATTGGCCAGGTAGCGCTGATAAAACTTGCTTTCCTGCTTTCCAAGAGCCAAATTCTAAAAACCTACGCGCGGCTTTTTGAACAATCTTGTACCTGCAATGTGAGACTAAAACAAAGAAGATTGAACAAGGGTAAGCATTATCCCTTTGACCTTGAAAATAAAGTACAAAGTCCTCTTTAGTATGGAGTCCATTTTCGAAAGAGATTTTCTGAAAATTTACAGAGCTATCAAGAAACCTACACGCGGCAAATTAAAGATGGGCCTTTTCTCGAACAGAGTCCGTTTTAATTTTGAAAATCGGTTGAGTAGACAACTATCCATTTCACTTTGAAAACTTCTGGTAAGAGTTGTGTTTGAAAATGGCGAGTCTGGAGCAAGCAAGCTATTGTCCTCGCACGTGCACGGGCTGAGATAAATGGAAACTTCATCTTTCCTTTTGTTTTTACTTTTGAACAAACACAATTCCCGCAAAATAAAGCAATATTATTAACGTTCACCTTGAAATATGCGCATATGCGCGAATTTGCGAAACAAAAGAGCTGAGGGAAGAAAACAATAGCGTGCCACTTGCATTGTTTAGTTTGTCACCGTCATCATATCAAGGAGCATCGTCGTGCATTCTTGGCAGCCAATGGTTGAAGCGCTTTCAAAGCGTCTAACCATGATTGCGCATGATGTGACAGATCTACGAACTTTAGTGAAGTGGGAGTAAATGTCCCGAGAACAATAGACATTCTGCACAATTGTAATTTTTTGTGCTTAACGTATAAACAAATAAGCACTTTGCATCATTTCATTCACCAACTTTACTTTTATTGTTGAAAGAAGTTGAAAAACGTGCATTTTCACTCAAAAATAGCCTGTTTACAGACCCTCTATTTTCTCTTCAAAGTCCGTCTAGCGCGGGTGATAAAATATAAACCGCAGGGGATTTATTGACCGCCAGCGCAAGGGGGTAGTGGTGGGGGAAGAAGAAAATAGACGGTCTGTAGACATCTTTGGGAGCAACTGAAACTTGCTTTTCGCAGGAAAAGCAAATTACCATTGGCTGAACAGTGATTATCCTGTCATCACTTAATATGTCAGCGACTCATCACGCTCGTGTCACGCGAGTAGAAGCGTTTGTCATTGCCTGGACGCGTTAAACGCGACACTTACTGTCGTAATTTGCATAAAAAAAATAACATCGATTGAAAGAGCCGCCGACTTCTGAACTTGGGATGGAGTCATACCATAAGCTTGTGTTGAGCATGTTGACCATAATTACCTTTTGTATCGGAGTGTAGTCTATGACGACTGTTTGGAACAATTTTCAAGCAAATACGTGCTCAAAGAAGAGCAGCGCCAGGCTGTTTTGGGTTTACTGGAGCAAAAGGATGTTGTGGGGGTCCGGGGTGGATACTCCTGAGATTTCTTGGCGGAGGTGTGCCGCCCGGTTCTCCAAATCCTGACCCTATTTCAGACCAAAAAATGTCATTTTCTACACCCGTTTTCAGACCTGGCCTGTAGGCAGAAATTATGTCACCATTACTTAGATTAGAGCGCAAACAGAAAAATTATTCAAATCCATTGAGAAATCGCATATTTCTCTTTCTTACTTACTCATTTGGAAGTGAAACGATAAATACGTTGATACACTCCCGTAGTTCCCTCGAAAACCAAACCCGATTCCAGACCAAAAATGGGCAAAATCTACACCCGTTTTCAGACCAAAAAGGCGCAAAAACCCTACCCGACGGGGTGGCACATCCCTATGTAGCTTAATATATAAGGAAGTACCTCCCTTGGGTGTGGCAGTTCTTCCAAGGGGTTTTGCGAAAAGTATAACTAGCAGTTGTTCGCCGCAGTGAAACTCAAACGAAGAGAAAAGAACGTGGAATTATAGTTGCGTCACTATTACGAAGTATTATCAACTATCAAGGTGAAGCAATGAGAGAAGCTGGCATTTCAGTCATTGCATTACCTTGCCGCGGAACCATGAGGAGATGCGAACATTCTGTTTTTTAAAAACCGAAAGCTATCATCGTCGTGCTCGCTTTCTTGAAAGCTGGCTTTAAAAAACCGAAATCCAGCTCGGGTGCTTCTGACCCGATTACTGCAAGGCGAACAAACCCTACTTAACTAACATTCTGTTTGCGAAACGGTAAAACCAAGATCTCTTAAATCGTCCGCCACACTTCGTTTTGTATCACCTTGACGAATACTCTCAAAAAAGAAATTATCTGTAGCTTTACGGGAACGGGATGATTGCCCAATACTATTCACCTATACAAAGCATCCACATATCCTACAATATTAAAGTTACATTATCGCAAAAACTTCTTGCTGACAATGAAGAAATGATTTTTTTGTGCGAAAACAACCTGCCCAAGGATCTTAAAAGCAAAAGATCAGTTGCAGTGAGCTTCGTAGCTAAACCATGATTCACCATGTAGCTATTTTCCTCGCTTTAATAACTCATTGAATAACTGGTCCAAGTGAGGGTCTACTAAGCCAATCGTTAGAAAATACAGAAAACTGCACATAACGGTTTTTGTTTTGCTCGCCCCAGACAAATCAAATTCCAGCCGTTGTTACGGGCGGAGTCAATTGTTTTGAAATCACTGCCGGCAGCACAGGCCGCCCAGACGTAGTACGTGTCAAATGAAGTCTCAAATGAATGTATTAGTAGTATAGGGCGCACCGGTTACTCCGGTTTTTTGGGGTGGATTCTCATTAAGGTGGGGAGGAATAAATTAACGTCGCTGACCTCATAGGCTATTGTATTGATCTCATGAATAAAATGTGGTGGATTTAATTAAGTATACTGGTTTGACCGGTTGGTCAGGTTCCAGTTTTAGCCTGGTTGATATAACTGGTTTATTTTTGTTTTATGACATAGCCTATTGTCTTGAACTCATGAATAAAATGCGGTGGAATAAATTAGCGTCTATGTCGTAATAACCTATTGTCTTGATCTCATGAATAAAATGCGCAGGAATCTCATTAAGATAAGGTCGTGTGTTATTTTTATTTGGTTTAGGTTTTCTAGTTACTTTAATGTCGATAGACGTCTTCCTTTTCGATTGGTTAGTTAGAAAATAAGAAACGTTTTCATTGGTTAATTCATAGTGTCTGAGGAGTAAAGTCAAACTTGTCTGTGACTTAAAATCACTGAGACGTAACGTAATTATGCACTTCCTATTTCCTGTTGCTGTGATTGTCCTTGTTCCGGTTCACTGATTTTTGGCGGGCAAATCGTGTATATTAAAGAGGGCAAAGGCAAACTAGCTCTTTTTTTACACTGCAAGCAATGCTTTACTTACCCCTCTCCTTTTCATTTTTTATTTTCCTCCTCCTCCACAATTTCATTATTTTCCTTCCTCAATTTTTTTATTCCCATTTTTCCATCCTCCTCCTCCTCCTCATTTCTATTGTTTTCCCTCCACCACCGCCACATTCCTATTGTTTTCCCTCCACCACCACCACCGCCACCACATTTCTATTGTTTTCCCTCCACCACCACCACCACCGCCACATTTCCATTGTTTTCCCTCCACCACCACCACCACCGCCACCACATTTCTATTGTTTTCCCTCCACCACCACCACCACCACCGCCACCACATTTCTATTGTTTTCCCTCCACCACCACCACCACCACCGCCACCACATTTCTATTGTTTTCCCTCCACCACCACCACCACCGCCACCACATTTCTATTGTTTTCCCTCCACCACCACCACCACCACCACCACATTTCTATTGTTTTCCCTCCACCACCACCACCACCGACACCACATTTCTATTGTTTTCCCTCCGGCACCACCACATTTTTATTGTTTTCCCTCCACCACCACGAGTTGGCGGCGGCCGTTTTTGGTAAACGATTACAAGAGCATCAGGACATGAGTTTCGTGACCAAACTAAACTCCTGGCGAAGGAAACATTATAAAATTCGGCTAGATTCCTTCTTGTATTTATCTGGATTCACGGCAAAGATAAACACGACCGTTTGCTCGTCCAGATTGTTCTCAAGGGACTTAGAGAGGCACCTTAGTACGAGTTAGATCCTGTAAATGCCATGTTTTTGAACTGTTTGTGTTCGAGCATATTTTTGGCAAATAGCAGAGTTTACTTTCCCTTTTTATCAACGGACTGCTTATAGTGGAGTGGTATACCAATGATGCTTGGTTCTGTTTTTCTCGACGTCGCAGTGATTCGGCATGATCGAACAATTTTGCGCGATAATGCATGCTTCCCTAAGATCAAAACAAAGACTTGATGTCTCTTGTTCTATCAGCATCTAAATTATAACATCACTAGCGACAGACAAGGCTAATTGTTAATGATTTGAAACAGTCTCGGTCTTTATCTTCGGTCTAGCGTCTTTTGTAGCTCGTTTGTAAGATACAACTTCGATTTATTTTGTTGAATAAGACAATATGCTGTTGTTGAATTTTTGTTTGCGCACTATTTTATGAATGGCATGCGTTTTTACCCCAAAACTACAACCTGAATACACGAAAGAGCACATCAAGAAGGATTCTAACAGGTATTTTGTCAAAAAACTCTGAACTTAAGCCAAATTTAAGCTTTAAGCGTTCGAGATAGTGCAGGAGTTCTCGATCGATACGATCCAGGATAAACATGTCAAAAATCCAAGATTGCTAACGTAATTCGTCACCCATTATATTAATAGGTAATCAAATGGTATACTCGTGAAATTAGGGAATAATTTGACTTGCGTTTTGTCCAAATCTTAATAATTTCCCTCACCTAATGGCTCGGGAAATTTTAAGGATTTGGACAAAACGCGCGTGAAATTATTCCCTAATTTCACTCGTCACCATTTGATTGTACATACTAATCTTTGTGTAAAAGCAAAAGCGGACACGCAAAAGCCCAATTCAAGGCCGGGGCGCGACATTCATCATGACAGAAATGGCCATTTTCACTAGACGGATTATTTGTGTGAGACGAGTTATCCGTTTGATGATTCGCGACAGATAGGTAATACTTGTTAATTTGAAAATGGAATAGTTTTAAATTTGAATGAACAATCCGCGTGACTTTATCCGTCAATTTCGACGGACAGTTTGAAGACGGGATTATCCGTTCCAGATAGCCTGTGTACAGCCGCCCCCTCCCCTCAGAAAAAATCAGAGAAGGGGTGTGTGGGGGGAGGGCGCGACTGTACACAGGCTAGTCTCAGACGGATAATCCATTTCCAGCTCTAGTGTGAAAACGGCCAATGACCAAATTCCCGTGTCCAGGGTTTTTATGATAGCGAAGGACTGTACGGAACGACTGTCTGCCGTTGTCTTGTCCGTAGGCCTCATTATTCCGCACGGCTAATGCGTTTCGGGTCACGTGGTCCTAGCGAGTTCGCGACGGAAATGCCTTGACCGAGATTGCGTTGGAAGACGCCGTACAGGGACTAGGCATGGCAATGAAATGTTGTTTATCGGCAACGTGTTTTACAAACAGTGACATCTCTGCGTGTTGTTTCACTAGTGTTTCGAGGGCACGACCACCTGAAAATCGCAAACATTAATCCCCAGCAAGAAGCCACACTTTTGCTATGGAAAAAAATAGTTCCCCGAGAGAGTGGCGGAAATGGAGCCTAGGTCTTGGTCGACACCTAAAAGGCGCTTCGCTTAACGTGCGTACGGAGTCACACTAGCCGGGAAATAAAAGACACAACCATAAGTGAGTTTAGTATCTCCGTTAAAAATAGCAAATCTAGGGAAAAGTTTCTTTTACGGTTAACTCTTTTTCACTCTATTAACGGCTAACGGCTACAATTTTTCAATTTTTACGGCTATCGACTAAATTTTTGGCCGTTTTACGCCTATCGGTTAACCCCATTGAGACCTTCACTTATGTCCAGGATTGATCTTTGCTTCGTAATTTACAAAATAAACCATTTTTCGGGATGACCTTGTGAAAACTGCAAAACTTTATTTTTTTCTATTTTCACAACTTGTTCCCTTTGTTATGTAAATAACAGCACGTCTTCAAAGCGGCGCTGCGGATTTTAACCTAGAAAAAAATGTCGTAAATTGTGTTCAAAAGCATTTTGTTGCTAGTGTTCCTGTTCGCTTTTTTTTTCACTGCCGCTCATTTTCACCTTTCTGGCTACTAGCATTTCTCATTTTCTGACCGCCGGTATAAGATTACCGTTCTTATGTGTGAGCAGAAGCCCCATCCGGTATGGTTTTGAGTCAGTAATACTTTCATTCGTTCTCGCGGATACCCACCTATTTAAACGTAGTTAAAAATGGTAAACTGAAAAAAAACCTGTAAGGTTACAGTTAACTCCTACTATATAATTACTTTGCAAATTAAACACAATTTTGTTCAAAATATGTTTTAAACTTGCGCTTGTAAATCATTAAATATTAACGCCCTATTAAAGTTTAATTGTTCATAAAGACGTCAAGATATTTATAGCTAATGCTATCTCGGATGTATTAAGATCTTACTGATAAACCAAGCCTGACAGGGAGGGCTTTTCCCTAGTTTCACGGTCTTCAATATGGCAGCAGGTCGTTGCTTCGCCGTGTTACCACTTTTGCTGGTTTGTGATGTTTGGGGAAATTGGCTGAACTATATCGCAGCTGCACAAAAAGGTAAGAATAAAGTATATTAACTGAAATGTAAGCATACACAAATGTCTTGTTGGATCCAGAAGGGCTTTTTTTTCAATTAAGCTTTTCAGTTACTTACAGTTAGAGTGCTAGAGACCAAGTCGATAATTACAATTTGTAGTCTACGCCGCCCGAGAGCACGAGCTCGATACATCAGCAACTTGTGCAGTTGTATGTTACCAGTGCTAATTTGCCAACTCTTTTGTAGAATTGATTGCAAAAGCCTTGCTTCAGATCTTTCGTTAGACCGCTTGCGATCGCGCGGGCGTTCTGGACCATTGTGTGCAACTATAGGCTGTTTTGCAATCTAACTCGTTGGTAAACTTAAGGGGCTGCCAAAGCACTGACTTCTGCTCAGTGCACACCTTCACAGCATGCATGGGATAAGCTTGTCCTTTCGGTCTGTATTCTAAAGTGCCGCACTCAGTTTGATGATCAGAAGGACGTCCTCGGCCCGCTAAAGAGACTGCTCTTTGGCATAGCGCCTTGCAAATGCGTTTTCATGTAAACACAGTTGCCTAGCGCCTATATTAAGTTTCAAACCAAGAGCCTTATTTTTTTCCTCGTTAGATCAATGCACGCGAAAGCGAGCGACACATATTTATAATGCAAGGTTCATCAATTAGATGGACTAAATAGCAATAAAGACACTACATTACAATAAAATAGAAAAAACTAACGTAAAACAAAGTAAGTAAATAACGAATAATAATATAATAATATTATTAATGTAAGACGAGGAACTTCAACATAATCATCTTCTGACTCCAAGAAATTTAACTCTATCTTTTTACGAAAAGACGATCGCTTAAACGTTTTACTTGAGAGAATCGATTCTCGTGAAAAGGCACTGAGACATTTTATCGGTCCTAGAGAACTTAATGATAAAGGATTATACTTGTTTTAGTAATTCATTGAGTACCCTAACTGGTGCTGACTGTCTGTTGATATCATAGAAATTTTTAGACCATAAAAATAAACATCAATAATTAGTCAAACAGCCACTGGGTGGCCCTTTTCATAAGGTCTCCAAATATCTAATCCTTGTTTCTTCCTGTCACCTGTTTTCAAGTCCCTCGCTTTAGGGTCTACTAATAAACACTAATAAATAAACTTTCTAATAGACTTACTAATCCATCAACGATCCGCTAATACAGTCCAGTGACTTCACTACTCCTTTGCTTTTATTCATGCATAAAGTAAATCGCAATTTCCAACTGGAAAACAAAGAATCATCGCCTGAAAAGGCCAACATAATGCAGAATTGTGTTTCTCTTAACAGTGTGTTAAGTCGTAATGTCTAAACGTTAAAACTGTTAACAGCATTGTAGTATTCTGAACGAAACGTTTGCTTGTATAACACACCATAGTTCGACTAATCAAACTCGATGGCGGCTACGCAAGAATAATACACACTCGATAGTTTGCTCTGAATTTTTTAGCCTTTCGCGAGTTTTAGAAATTTCTAGGCCATAAAAACTGACAATAATTAGTTAAGAAGTCGTTGGGTTTCTCTAATCATTGTGTTACACATGCATTTAAACTAGGTATCAAAATACATTATTCTTGTCTCTGCCTACCACCTGCCTTTAACTCCCTCCCTTTAGGGTCTTATAACGTAAACAGGAAGTCGCTTTCTACGTTTGCATGATAAAATCATGAATAAATAAAGCGATTTCTCTAGCATGTCATATCGGGAATGCGTCAAAATGAGATCAGTAATTATTAACCTCCTAGGTAACTTATTTGAAAAAAAAATGCGTTTTAAACAAAATGATATTTTTTTGTTAGAATTTTTTCAAGTCTACTGGATTTCTTTTGCACACTCGCTCATCACGAAATTGACAACTTCGTATGTGACGCCATGAGACATGAATGCGGGAACTAAAAAACTGGATTTATCCATGTGTATCCCTTTCTTAGGGTCGCTAGTGTTGTTGCATCTAACTGCAACGCATCTTACTGGTGTGTTTTGACTTTTTTGTAAAACAGCTGTTTCAGTTAGTGAATTGCAAGAAATATTTCTAGAACTCCTCATTTGTCTACTTGTATCTTTAGTAAAGTGTTCCTCAATTTATGTCAGAGTTTTTTAATCTACGTCACAGCTCCCGTGTTTCCGAGAGACTTCCAGAAAAGACTAAGACGAATAGATTGCTGTAACGCCTTCTCGGCTTTAGTTTTTGTGACGCATCACATGATCTTTTAGATACGGGATATTTGTATTCACACGTGGACACACTGAACTTGTGACTAGAACTTTCACTTGAACGTTCGATAGAACTTTCGGAAGAACACGCTTGTGTTGTGTGTAGGAACCTGACAGTCTTTGACGGTCAATATGGTTTAGGTCTCAATCGAACTACCGTAAACATAACCTCTAGTTCGTGTTTGTTAAGTTTTTCGACAACCGTGCAACAAACATACGGACCAGCCTGCAGACTTTGTTAAGTTGTGGTTGCTTCACTACAGTTTCCTGGCTTCCCTTTATTACCCAGTAAAGGCGGCCGCTACAGGTGCCATTGTGTTAATCACAATTTTTTTTTCTCAGTGGCTCTCGTAGTAATGTGTTCTTTCAATTAAAACAAGAAAAAAAATTAGGTTATGGGCACTTTAACTTGAAGCGCCTTTGAACGTTCAGCTGGTGCATCTTTAAGCAAACATGGAATATAACCACCTGACTCAAAGTGGTGAACATACATAATGAGAGTTGCTCTCTTTAAGGAATAAGTACTGTGCATGAACAACAAAGTTTTCATAGCACTTATACATTTGTAATTCTGTGTCTTTTTACTTGCATGTTCTTTCGAAACGATAAACTCTGTTTTCATACTTTTCATGATCAGGCAAGCCAAGTCATTTTCCCCTGCTACTAAAAATAGCATGGTACTGGAACTTTCCCCTAGGGTGGCGAGGAACCTGTCTAACCCCGCCGTAAGACACAACGAAGACCGTAAATCCTGAAGCATATTTGGTTCCGGCAGAAGGTGTGTGGCCTCGAGGTCGGCATTCCGAGCGCGAAGTTCTTCTATTTCCTGTCGCATTTGTCCTAGCCGATGGGACTGCTGAGGACGACATTTTCCTCTTTTTCTCGGTCTAACAACTCCTTCAATGCAGTAAATTTCCCGATTCTGCTCCGCTCGGAGACTGGGCATTGATGAACGATCCACTCGTCTTGGGAGAAGACGAAAAACCATACTCCGAGTACTGTAAGCTCTTGCTCTCATGAATTAGTGCGTAGTCCACCTGCTTACGAGGACGTAGACAGTGCGTAGATTGAGACATTGTGTACCGAGAAAGAACGAATGTCTAAGTTAACTGTAATGAACGAAAATGTAAGCTAACACTCGCTGCAACTGGTTAAACAAATGATCAATTCCACTGTAACAACCCTATATAAACAGGTATCTTGTAATGATTAATCTAGAAATTATCAACCTACAAGAAACTTTACATGAAGTGGGCGTCGAATCAAATATTTTAAGCGAAGTTCAAAATTGACTGTTGTTTGTTGACCCTAGCTTGTTCCATAAACGGTGGGCGCAGATGACGCCTGAAACTCTCTCGTAGAAACTACTTCTGCAGTTTTTATCCGTTTGAGCTTAAAGTTTGCTGGATAAAAGATCTTTGTATTATACATAGTCGTATGGTTTTTGTTTTTTCAACTTAAACGGATTTTGGTGGGAAAATGACGTCGTAGGATTGAAGTAGGATGCTGGATATCGGACATCGGAATTAGGGCAGCTCGGATCAGAGCATCTAACCAAGCAAGTCAGTATAGAAAATTTGCTTAATTACTCGGACAATGTACTTGGGTATGCCCATATATATCCGGAGAATACTCCATAAGCTTTCTGTGTGTGCGCTATCGAACGCTTTCGGGAAATCGATAAAATTGAAGTACAATCCATGCTGCCATTCAAACGACACTGCTCGATGTAGTTCCTTAAGGTATAGATAAGCTCCTTGCAGCCCCAAGCTTTCTAAAATCAGCATGTTCTTCGCAGTACTCCATCCCCAGTCAGAGAGAGATAATTCGCTGTGACTTTAGCAAAGATTTTACTTTACTTAGCAGGTGGTTTGATGCTAACATCAAGGTGACAGTTGGTCCTCTGAAACCTTTTTTTCAGGTTTTCCTAAAAGTGTCCTGCCCAGCACTCTTCCTGGTCCTTCTTAGTTGAACGTAATGCACCTGACCTCCACAAATGCTTTGTGATCCTGTAGACTATTCCTTGTTTCTTTCTGGTGCTGGATAGCGGCCTCTACCTCTCTTGCAAGACTCCCAAGATATCTCCTCTTTTCCGTTCTAGCTGAACGTTGAACTTTGGCTTTGAGAATAACATCGCATTGAGCATGTAATTTCTCTTTTAGGCGAGTAGATTTGATTCCCATAAGCTTTCCCTTTGCTCTTTTCGTTTCTGCAGAACATATTCTTTGTGACATTTCCCATTAAGGGAAAGGCGATACTGTGGAGGTTCTCGACGATTCTGCAGTGCCATTCTGATTATACCGAGTCGGTATCAGCTATTTCGATGTTTTCTTTAAGAGTCTATTACTTATTACATCCTAACAAGACAAGGCCATTTGCTTCCTATTTCTTTGCAGATGGTTGTCGTCGCCTCAAGTTCCTTCCACCGGACGATGGCCATTATTTGGCATATCACGTGTTTTTAAATCTTACTATTGGAATATACACGTCTTGTCATCACAGATGTGTTATGGAGAGTAGATGCGTGTCAGTAAACATTGGTCCGCCTGTAAACGACAAAGTTGTGTGTGAGCTTAGTGATTCGGATCACATACAGAGCCCACAACATCTTAAAGCAAGACGCGGCTGGAGCTACAGAGGCACCACTGAGGTACCAATGACAAATAGGTCTAAAACATACGTAAGTGTAGATAAACCAAAGACAGGTGAATGAATATCTCACTAATTCTCGATAAAATAATAAAGCTTTTTAAGTAGGGGCGCCGGATGATCACGATGATGAGTTCCTGCTGCTGCTGCTGCTGCTGATGATGATGATGACGATATCGATTAGGAAAATGAATGATGCTGATACTCATTCTGATAACAAGTTTGATGTTTATAAAAATGTATGTATTCGCTTCCATAAATCAACAATTCCAGAAAAATCCCAAATGTTTCATCCTCACTGGAAAAAAACTCGAATTTTGATGAAATTATCGAGAGATTCGAGAAATCTAAATAATAACTTTTCTATCTCATATGTTCTCAGCGCGGTAAATAAGTTTTAATGTGATTTTAAAAAATAAAATATATATTCTCCATTAGAACCTTTGCGTCAGTAATCCTTGTCTTAACAATGGTACGTGCCTCACGGGATATACGAGCAAGAAATACCTCTGTGTTTGCACCTTAGGCTTCAAAGGAGAAAACTGCGAGCAGGCTCCAGGTAAAATAGTATATATAGAGGATATTACATGACCGCGCGGATAAACTGAAATCTTCATGCGGGCTATTACGGGCGGATCTTTTAGAAAGTGTTATGAAAACGATGTCTAAGGGAAGATATAAGTCAAAAATATTTTAATGGTTCTATTTGCATAACATAATTTTGTACACCTTTGTATTCTTTGCTCACTCTCACGCCATCGATAGTTTCTTAGTTTGAATTTTTGTGACGTCATGTGAAAACCCCTAATAGGGCGCTAAAGCAACGACGACGGTGACGTCAACGAGAGCGGCTTAAAAGCAATAGGTTTAGATTGGCAAAACAATAACTTTACACGTGCACCGGGCTTTTTTGTACATTTCTTGGCCGTCCCTGCACGACGACGACACGTGAAAATGCCTATTTTCATGTTTTGTGGAGGACGTGAACACAAGACAACGACTTTCTTTTTCTGTTTATGAACTTCGATAAAGTCTTTTAGAATTCAACTCCAGAAAAAAATTGCCAAAATTTGACGAATTGAATGAGATAGAATAAGCGCGATAAAGTTGAAGCAGCGCGACTTCACTTTTTAAGTGACGTTTTCGTAGCTGTCGCCGTCGTTGTCACATAAGCTCCCTAATATCTCTTTTGCAAATACATCTCAGACGTTCCCGCCTCTTCGGCTGTCAACGCTGGCACCGGGCCATCAACTGGGCTATCTACACCGAAATCTTCACCTGCCACTCCATTTGTCGTCGGATCGCTAACTTCGACAGAAGCGCTAAACACCTCGGCAATGACGATCGATCCTGATCTGTTCACTGCCTCGCTATCTTCTGCACTACCCGGAGCGATAAAGACTGCAATATCCACCGATGTTCTCCCGCCGCCTACTCCGGCTACTAACGCGCCAGCGCCAGCAACGGCTGTAACAACTCCCACGGTCATCTCAGCGTCCGTGCAAGGATCGGGTAATCACCCACACCTTGACGGCACGCAAGCTATTGAAATTTTAAAAAGACCCAGGCCAATCCCAGTGATAACTGTCCTTTTCTGGATTCGCTATTGATTTAAATCTTAATGCTAAAATAAGATAAGTAAAAGCAGAAAATATGGGCACATAAATATGTGGATTTTGGAGCATTAGTGTCCCCTAGCCCCACTTTTGACAAATATTAAAGAAGAAGGAGAATTCAAACACCAGAAAGCTCAGAAAAATTTTCTGAGCTCCATGTGAGAATCGAACTCACGACCCTCCGAGTTATGCTATATCGCTCAAACCTTCTCAAAATTCATCGACTTCCGCCAAGCTTACTTTAGCCAAGCCACTTCGAACGCCTATAAAAAAGAAGTTAAGTAATATAAATCAATGGCTGTCTGCATTTCATACTTTCGTAGCTGTTCATGTTTAGAAATCTTCGAGCAAAGCCGCCAAGCTAATGAAATACGGGGAAATCGTGCGTAACACGGCCACCAAACCGGGGGACTAGGCTTATTATGTAGAGCAATTTCGGCTCTTACCATGTCTTACGGCAATCAGACCCAGCTAAATAGCCCTGGGTCGACCCTGGGACGGGGTCCATTGGGAAATTTAACAAAGGGTAATGACGAAGTTTCGTTCGAAGTCGTTCTCTGACCAAGACAGGCCCACCTTGCGCTCACGGCAATCCTTTCTCCAGGGTGGTTGTTTGGTTTTTCACTCCGGGCGGCACCATCGGGGGATTTTATTGCAAACAAAAATAATTCTTTTCTGGCTCAAACCATCACGCTTCCCGCAGCGCTTCCAGAAATCAACCCCAGCAATACAAACCGCCAGTCCCCCGCCAAGAGCCCACAGGCTCTTCAAACCAATATTTTCACTGCGCCGTTAACGCCCGTAAAGGTGGATCGACTTAATCGATTGCGACTGTTTTGTTATTGCCAGTTTGTGATCAGGCAAGATCATGGTTTCGATTCTCTACGCGAACCTAATCAGTTGCCTGGTTAGCTTTGTACTTAGGTGCTTTGTGGAGACAGCCGTACAGCCGTTCTGTCTAAGACCCTGTTTACAAGGAGGGAGGGTAACCCTGGTGGTAGGGTTATCCTAGCAATAGGGTTACTCTAGCGCTCGCACACTTCTCTTTTTTTTGCATGACGTGTTTAAAAGGCAGGCCCTACCGCTAGGGTAACCCTACCTAAGTGCTGGGGTTACCCTACCTGCCTTGTAAACGCTCTGCTAGTAATATAACTCGCCTACCCGGGACAACCTTCTGCCGTCTTGCTTGACTAGAAATCTTAAAAAATTTGAAGGGAATTATCAAATTCTGAGCTAAATTATAAACATCTCATCAATATAAGGCATTTTTCTGTATACTATGATAATGTTTTCCCGTTTTTTCGTAAATTTAACGTGTTTTCCATAGAGGAAGTCATGTTTCATTTCAAATATTGAACGTTACAAAGAATCCACGCACGATGAAACACGTCAGAAAAGCTGGAAACGTTGACCCGGGTGATAGGGTACCCTACGTCTGAAATGTGCTTGTAAATCAGAGCTAACTTTAACCCGCTTGCTAGGGTAACCCTAGCACAAGGGTAACCCTCTCTCCCTGTAAACAGGCCCTAACTGAATATCCGCGTAACGGTTCGAAAATTCTTCTTTTCCTATTGGCTACTGAACAGTGCTGAACGCAACCAATTACTGAGGATGCATTTAGATCCTCTTCTGCTTGAAGCTAGGAGCGTGCTTTTTTGGAAATAAAGGCGAAGACAACGTGGTACTTGCTGTTCAATCTGAAAACATTGTCATTCAATTACTAAGCCGATAAGGAGAGAACCCTAGAAAACACAAAATGGATCTACGATAACTTTCGCTTTGCTTTGTCCTTATTTTAGTTATTTTAGTTTGTTTATTTTTCAGTCATGGCTAACAAACGCTACAAATGCTGTAGCCTTTACTCTCTGGGATGAGACAACGTAGATATTTGCTTTACTGCAGTTGTTTACAGCGTCTCAGTGTCCAAACAAGCTCTTACTATTTTGTTTTATCAGATTGCTATGATCTGTTCAAGGTAGGCCATACTCAGAGTGGAGTGTACTCTGTGAACCCAGACGGTAAAGGATCCTTCAATGTATATTGTGACATGCGAACTGATGGTGGAGGGTGGTCTGTGTTCCAGAGAAGACAAGATGGCTCGGTAGACTTCTATCGCGGATGGAATGATTACAAATCAGGCTTTGGTCAGCTGACGGCTGAGTTCTGGTTAGGAAACGACAAGATCCACAGGCTGACGGCCGCAAGACCCAGCACGCTACGAGTGGAGCTAGAGGACTGGAACGGAGTACGAGTGTATGCCAAATATGGCAAGTTTAACATTAGCGATGAGCAAGCGAAGTATCGACTTGAAGTGGGTTTATTTTCAGGGACGGCGGGAGATTCGTTAGCAAATCAGAATAACATGGCATTTAGCACAAAAGATATAGATAATGACAGATGGGGTAATAACTGTGCTGTGCGCTGGACTGGCGCTTGGTGGTACAGAGACTGCCAGTGGTCTAATCTAAATGGAAAATACCTGGGGAATAAAGGTTCCTTAAATGGAGTTCGCTGGTCTACATTTCGTACTTATCTTTCACTCAGATATGTTGAAATGAAAATGAGGTCTTCGTTCTAGGAAGATTATCACTATCCTAAGGAGTGTCAATATTTAGGGACAGCGAGTGATTGATTCAGAACGTGAATTAATAAGTAATCGCATTAACATAGCATGTAGTGCAGGGCTAAGCGTTGGACTGATGCCTGATGGTACAGCTGTTGTCACCATAGCCTGTGAACAGGCTCTCTGTTTGGGGAAAAAAATGGCGAGGAAAGGTAAGGGAAAGGGGGGAAGAGAGGCGTTTTCGCTTTTCCCTCTCCCTACCCCGCTCGACCAAAGGCCTGTTCACAGGCTATTGTCACCACTTCTGTTTAAACGGAAAATACTCGTGAGGAAGGAGTGACGAGCCCTGTGCTATCATTGCTCGCAAAATAGAGCTGAGTCTGTTTTCTTATTAAGACAAATAGTAACATTGTTGAATCCATTGTTTAATAGTATCATTGTTAATGAAGGTTTCCCTATTTCTCTAATAGCTTAGGGAAAACACTCACGCAGTGTTACATGAGAGCTTTGTTCGATCCCTCGTTTGTTTGTTGTCTGCATTCCAGGATAGCTCTTAGATTTGTATGGTTATTTTGCTCGTTATTTAGCTTTATTGTAAATTATAAAAAATGAAATTTTATTAAAAGTGACTTTTTGGGGTGACGGCTTGGAGGCCATGGCGCGAATGTTGCAGTCAATAAGAGGGCAAAGCACATTACGTATACAGCTGTTTCGAGAAAGATTGTCGGAAAAGGTTCACGGGACAATCCCGAAAGGTCTTGTGGGTGGTTTTGAGTTCACTGTTCTTCAAACAAATTTGAAAGAATGGCACGCGCATTCTAAAGGAAAGCAAGAATAGAAGATTCGACAGCTGCAGTGCCAGGAACAGCTTATTGATCATCTCCCATATTTCGGCGTTGTCGCGTGCAAGCCATTTTTTCCCGACAACCTTTCTCCAAATAGCTGTATATATAGAGTCCCACGCAGACGACTAACCCCTAAAAACGACTGCACATAGTGATACAATATTGATTTTATTTCGCGCCTTCCGTTAAAGTGCCCGCATCAATTGCCTGAACTGTAGACTCATCTCAAAGATGAAGAGAGAGAAGAAAGAGGGAGGAAGAGAGGGAGAGAGAGAGAATTTTGTTAAAGATTGTAAACTGGATGTGTAGCTTCTCTTCTACAGTTTTCTTCTAGCAGATATTTTGTCCAAGTCATACTTAAAGGAAAATAACACATTATCACCGTCATTTTATCCTATCTTATTCCCTTTCTCCCTAAAAAATTACTAGCATGACCCCAAAGTGCTGCCCTGCCTGAGCTATGTTTACTGGGCAAAAATTCCACCATTCAGCAATTGGAGTAAATGGCTATGGGCAACATCCCATAGCCCCATTTATTCAAAATACTGTTCAACCAAAACCTTGATACAAAAATTGGCCCAGTACTGAAGGTGTGGACACTGAAAACGCATAATTATAAAATCCAATAATAAATAAAAATGGAGTGGCTGGGACATGGGGATGAGGAGGGGTAAAAAAAAACACGTCTTTAACCACCGTCGAGATGAAATGAAGTGACGCTCATATGGGTACCTGGTCACTTGGCAAGCACAAAAAACCTAAAGGGTATTGGCTGTAATGTGAATGAATGTCACCCCAAGTCCCAGGCCCCCACTTAAATTAAAACTAATAAATAGGAAGAAGAGGCATAAAAATCCTATTCGCAAGTAAATATATATTTCCTATTGAATCGAAGACAATTTATGGAAAGCTGTGTCTGAGAGGGTGTTAAAATTCTAGTCAATTTGGCTAATGCTGTGTAGCAGTTAGCATGAGCTAACAGATGAAAGGAGATGAATGGAAAAAAAAATGAAAGGAAAAAAGAATTGCTTCTGTGACAAAATGTTTCTTTGGGATTTGCACCCACCAGATCGAGCCAAGACGGTCAAGAGAGTTTTCCAATCAATTGCGTCGGAATCTGAAGTCGACACTACCCTCCGAACAGTTAATATTTGATAGTTATTACTCCAGACGGGCTATGCAGTTTGATAAACCTGCTGCTTTTTCTCCAGTCGATCGCTATCGCCTATTTTGGGAACATTTTAGCAAATAATTAGTGAGAACAGGCTCTCTTCGTTTCCATCCATGGCGGATAAAGGCGGGGAATCTTTATCCTCCCTCTTCCCATCATACCCCACTTGCGTAACCATCACTCGTCT